AAACAGACTGCCACCAACTGGGAACAAAAATGTCCAAATACTTGGAGCCTATAGGGGACATTCTCATTCAAACCACTACAGATAGGTATCAAATCTTTTAGTTCTGCCAGGCGTGGTGGCACAGGCCTTTTAATTCCAGCACTCAGGAGGTAGAGGCAGGTAGATTTCTGAGTTCAAGGCCAGCCTGGTCTACATAGCAAGTTCCAGGCCAGCTGGGGCTACAGGGAGACGATGTCTCAAAAAGACCGATAATAATAATAAACTATCTACTGTCTGCATCACCCTCACTCTGTAACGTTTTTCTGCATTAATGTTCCTGAGAACCGGCCGTGTAAGATGGAGACCTAGCACACTCCCTTTTTTTGCAGGTGTATGTGTTGTAGTGGGCACTGTGTGTATGCATATTTGCATGTATGAGGGTACAGGTACACATACATGTGTATGGAAGCCAGAGGTTGACATCAGGTGTCTTCTTCAGTCAGTTTCTACATTATACAGTGAGACAGAGTCTCTCACTTGAACCCAGAGCTCACCAATTTGACTAGCTAGCTTGCTCTGGGGATCTCGTATCTGCTTCCTGTGCACTGGGATTACAGGAGGGCCATCATGCCCACCCAGTATGTATATGGGTGTTGGGGAATCTAAATTCTGGTCATTATGCTTATGCAGCAAGCAAGCATTTTACTCACTGAGCCATCACCCCAGCCATATACATTCCATTTATGCTCCATAGTATGCTATGAGAACTTTTTTTTTTTTGGTCTTTTCGAGACAGGGTCTCCCTGTAGCCCCAGCTGTCCTGGCATTTGCTGTGTATACCTGGCTGGCCTTGAACTGAACAGAGATCCACCTGCCCCTGCCTCCTTAGTGCTGGGATTAAAGACGTGCCACCACACCCAGGTATGTTAGAATTTTTCAGCTTGCTTGGTCTTGTGCAAGTAACCAGAGCTGCTGTGAGTTCATGTGTGCAAGAGCCATGTCCTGTTCAGAAGACAGCATTTCACAGCTCTCCTCATCCTCTGGCTCTTACATTCTCTCTGCCTCCTCTTGGTGATGATCCCTGGGCCTGGGGACCGCGGGGGTTGGGGGGTTGATAGAGCTGTCCCCTCTTTAGCTGAGCACTTCACTGTGGCCCTGTGGTTCAGATTTTGGGGCACTTAGTTGTTGCAAGAGTATGTATATCATTTTTTAAAAACAGGCAGATTTTCTTTAAACTTTTGAGCTCTTCCCCTGCCTCTTGCCTTTGGTATGAATAGCATCTGATTACTGTTCCACCACATAATACATAGAATTGATAGTGTATGCAGCCCAATCAGTGAGGTTTTTGGTGGTGGTGGTGGTTTAGTTTGATTTTTTTGAGACAAGGTCTCATGTAGCCCAGGCTGGCCTCAAACTTGCTGTATAACTAATGGCCCTGAACTCGGATTTCACCTGTCTCTGCCTCCTTAGTGCTAAGGTTATAAGCTTGAACTCCATACCTGTCCAAAGTCAGTGAGTTGATGTCCACTCACAGATGAAGCTTAAAATGATTTTCTTGTAAGTGTATCAGCATTCTCAGTGATCTGGGACAAGCCGTTTAGACAGCCCAGTTCCTCTGAGCATGAAATGAGCGGTGGTGCAGGTGTGCCTTCCTGAGAACAGGGGAGCTGCCGGTTTTCTCATGTGGCTTTCAGGCCAGGGAGTCCTTGACCTAGAACTCACTATGTAGACCCGGCTGGCCTTGAACTTACAGATATCCGCCTGCCTCTGCCTCCTGAGTGCTGGGATTAAAGGCATGCTCCACCACACGGCTTCTGTGACTTCTAAGTCCTGTGTGTTCCTGTCTTCCAGGTTCCTCTTGATCAGGCCAACGGTAGAGGAGAATATAGAGTCCAAGAATGAATGTTCACCAGGGCAGTGATGGTGACAGGTTACTGCGGCAAGAGACTAGCTGTCTGGTAGATGAGACCTTAGCTGCCACTCAAGAAAAAGAAAGCAGCAGCCTGGTGTCGTCCGCTCTTCATGGTCTCCCATATTCCCTAGCTTCCAGGAATGAAGGTACCGTGATGGGCATTAATTTGGGGGGCTGACACCTGCGCATCTGCTCTACTCGGAAGAAATGGGGAGTCTTTAAAAATTGTTTTATTTTTATTTTACATATATGACTGTATTGCCTGCATGTATGTAAGTGCACCTGTGTCATGCAGTGCTCTCGGAGGTCAGAAGAGGCCATCAAATGCCCTGGAACTAGAGTTACAGATGGTTGTTAGCCATCATGTGGGTGCTGGGAATCAAACTTGGGTCCTTTGCAAGAATAGCCAGTGCTCTTAACCACTGAGCCATCTCTCCAGCCCCCAAGTCTTTTTTTTAATGTATATGAGTGTTTTGCCTGTGTGTATATAAGTGCACCTATGTCATGTGATGCCCACAGAAGCCGGAAGAGGGTGTTCCCCTGGAACTGGAGATATGGATGGTGGTTAGCCACCCATGTGGGTGCTGGGAACCAAACCAGAATCCTCTGCAAGAGCAGCCAGTGCTCTTAACTGCCAAGCCGGTTCTCCAGCCTGTAGTGGAGATTTTTAAAAAATATTTTATTTGTTATTTTTATTTTATTGTATATTTCGCATATGTCTAAGTGCATCCATGTTGTGCACTGCCCACAGAGGTCAGAAGAAGGCATCAGATTCCCTGGAACTGGAGTCATGGATGGTTGGAGTTAGCTGCCATGTAGGTGCTGAGAATTGAACCTGGGTCCTCCTCAAGAGCAGTCAGTGCTCTTAACTGCTGAGCTATCTGTCCAACCCCCCAATGGAGATTCTTAACCTAATATTTATTCAGTTAATTAGCTTGGCGTGCATACTGTAGTGCCGTCTACCTGACTTTCACAGAAAACATCCACTTAGTCTGGGCCATCTAACCTGTCAATAACAGTATAAAACAAACAGCTACAAGTTTGGAAACCAGAGACAGATTCATCTTGCTCTGGTACTTAGAAGCTGTAACTCTTAGTGTAGAAAACAGAGTTGCTAACAGAGCAGCCCACAGGACTGCTGGATCCAGGAGTTAATTAATAATGGAAAAACTTGCCGGGTGTAGTGGCGCATGCCTATAGTCCCAGCACTTGGGAGGCAGAGGCAGGTGGATCTCTGTGAGTTCAAGGTCAGCCTGGTCTACATAGTGAGTTCCAGGACAGCTGGGACTACAGGGAGATCCTGTCTTTTTTTGTTTTTGGTCTTTTTGCTGGGATTAAAAGCATGCACGACCACGCCCGGCTAAATCCTGTCTTTAAAAAAAAAAAAAAAAGTTAAAAAGAAAAATTTTAAACCAGGGATTTGGCTCACATACAGTTTTACCATTTACAGACTACAAAAGCAAATTTACACCCTGCAGAGACAGATGTCCTTGCTTGTCTCCTACATTCCAATCCAAAGATATGTTGACGCGATACATGCACTGGATGTGGGGCCCATGCCTGTAACCCCAGGACTTGGGAGGTGGAGGCAGAAGGATGAGCAGTTCAGTGTCATCCTCAGCTACATCTCCAGTTGAAGGGCATTCTGGATTATATGAAACCCTGTCTCACAAAGAGAAAAAATGACATTTTAAATGAATAATTTAAAGAAAATAGCTTTGTGGTGATAGGACAAAAATGGACTCCATGGGTGAACGCTAATATTCATTTGCACTGCTGCCAGCAAGATCTGCCAGTCTGAAAGCTGAGGTTGGCGATTACGATTCTGTTATATAACGAAAATGCTTTTTTTCTGATTTCCTAGGAAGAGTACTGTGTTAAGAGACTCCCATTCTTCCTGGTAATTTTTTTAAAAAAACCTTTGAAGATTGTGAAAATTGATCATTTCAGCAAACAGAAGTAGTGAGTTCCTAAAATAAAGCGCAGGAGGGCAGGGGCTGCAGCTCGGATTGTAAGTGCTAACCTAACATGCACAGAACCCCGGCTTCCATGCCCAGCACTCCAGAAGCAGAGGAAGGAGGCTCAAATTCAAGGTCATCCTTTGCTTACATAGTGAGCTTCAGGTTAGCTTCAGCTGTATGAGACCCTGTCTCAAAAATAATGAGGGGCTGGAAAGATGGCTTGCCTAAGAGTGCTTCCTGCTCTTCCAGAGGACCCAAGTTCCATGCTCACCACCCATGTTGGGAGGCTCACAATTGCTCTAACTTGGGGCCAAGAGACTTAAAAGTGTGAGCACATCTGCCTCCACTCCCTACTGATTCCCACACCAGTACACAGGGCAGAAATGTTCAGGGAGATCATGAGAGCCTCTGGCTGTTTTTTGTTGTGGGGGAGGGGTCATTTCTCTCACTTGGCTTTGCTCTTGAGTTACTTGATTGATTTATCTCATCTTTTAGAACTTCCACTTGACTACACCCCTCAGCCCTCAAGTCTTCAGTTCCCCCACATAATGGCACTTCCGGAAGACGTCAAGGGTGCCTGCTTCCAGAGTGGGAATAAGCGGAGCCAAGAGCCCTTCGTCTCTCCAGAGAGGTTTGGAAACAGTGGCATGGGCTTTGGCAGTAGCTCTCACTCCCAAGCACCTGAGAAAGTGACGCTTCTTGTAGATGGTACACGCTTTGTTGTAAATCCACAGATTTTCACTGCTCATCCGGATACCATGTTGGGAAGGTAACTGGTTCCTCTGCATTCTCTGTAGACAGAAATGTTTTGCCTGGTATTAGACCCCAAACTGAAATTCAGTGCAGTGCTTGTTTTTCACGTCAGTTCTTGCTGCTGTGAAGAAGGCAGGGCAGGCTGGCGAGCCCCGGGCCTTGGTGCTGGGAGGGTGGCACTTCTACAGTGTCAGGGGCTGTCCGTGGAGGGAAACCCCTCTATGCTCACTGCTGTATTCTCTGAGTTCAGAGATGCTTGGAGAAGCTGAGACCTGCTTTGTGTTCTTTCTTCCTTCTGTGAAAAGTAGCATCCAAGAGATGACCTACAGGGTCATTTTAGTGCAAAACCTGCCACCTATTGACACTTCAGTTTTTTTGTTGTTTTTTTGTTTTTCCAGTACTGGGACTTGAACCTGGGATGTCGTGAATGGGAGGCACAGAGCTAACCAAGATCTTGGCTCAGCCATTAAGAGCAGTTAAGGGCTGTTGCAGAGGACCCAGGTTCGGTTCCCAGCACCCACATGGAGACTAACAGCCATCTGCAACTCCAGTTCCAGGGGACCTGATGCCCTCTTCTGATTCTGTGGGCAATTATACAACATGTGTGCACTTAAATACATTTAGGCAGTACACTCATACATATAAAATAAAAACAATAAGGGCTAGAGAGATGGCTCAGCAGTTAAGAACACTGTTCTTGCAGAAGACCCGGGTTCAAATCCCAGTACCCACATGGCAGCTAACAGCTGTCTGTGACTCCAGTTCCGGGGAATCCGACAGCCTCTTGTGTCTTCCGCCGGTATTGCACGACATGGGTGCACTTACATACATGCAGGCATAACACTCATACACAGAAAATAAAAATAATAAAAATTTAAAAATATTTAAAATTTTTGTATAAGTAGATCTTGTATGTTGAATATATCCCCTGCCATGCTTTGGCTAACTATTCGAGTATTTGTGTTTTGTGGGTGTTTTGTTGTTTGATTGATTGGGGGGGGGGTGGCACATGAGGGTATGCTCACCTGTGCGGGCGGTACAGAAGCCGGCGGTCAGTGCCAGGTGCCTTTCTCAGTTATCCTCCCCCCTTTTTTTCATTTTTAAAATTTATTATGTTTTGTATTTTATGTGTATGAGTGTTTTGCCTACATGTATATAAGTGCACCCATGTTGTAAAAGCCTGTGGAAGCTAGAAGAGGGTGTCGGATCCTTTGGAACTAGAGTTATAGACAAATGTTAGCAGCCATGTGGGTGCTAGGAATCAAACCTGGATCCTCTGGAAGAGCAGCCAGTTCTCTTAGCCACAGAGCCATCTCTCCAGCCCCCCCACCCTTACTTTTTGAGACGGGGTCGCTCACTGAATCTGGAGCTTGCTGTTTCAGCTCTGCTGAACAGAGATTCCCTACAAATCTCCTGCTCTGCCTGCCCAGTGCTGGAAATACAGATGTGCATGACATGCTTTTATGTGGGTGTCAGCTGTCTGAACTCAAGTTCTCATACCTGCACAGCAAGCATGTTACCCACTGAGCCATCTCCCCAGACCTGTGCAGGTTTAAGTTGTTACACCTAGATATTTTTTTCCTACTTATTCTATGTGTGTGTCTCTTTGTGTACAGGTGTGTGTGTGTGTGTGTGTGTGTGTGTGTGTGTGTGTGCCAGAGGTCAACTGCAGATGTTCCTCAGGAACTGTCCTTGTGTTTTTAGAAGGGATCTCTACTGGCCTGTAGTTTGCCAAGTAAGCTAGAGTGTCTGGCAGTGAGTCCCAGGATCCGCCTCCCTTCTAGTGCTGGGATTTTTGTGTAGGTGCTAGGGATTGAACTCAGATCCTGATGTTTGCACAGCAAGCTCTGTACCTACTGAGCCATTGAGTGCTCTCTTTATTTCTCTACTCTCTGTGCACTTTCAGATAACAGCCAAGCCCTCACCATCTCTGCTCCCAGCTCTGTAGGGTTAGTTTGGGGAGTGGAAGTAGCCTGCTAGTGGGGAACACTTAGCAGGAAGTACTCTTGCAGCCTGGGCCAGGTGGCCAGTCACCACAGATATTAACATGAAGAATTGTAAATTTGGGTCAGTAAAAATAAAAACAGTGGTAATAATATATGTGTAGATTTGACTTGGGAGGGTTTCATGTACTGAGAAGTAGATTTTTATTTTTCAAAATAGAACCTCACTCAGGAGTTTGAACCAGTTTGAACTGAACTAGAATATTCTAGATTTCACTCATTTCCTGCATTGTTGGCTAAGTGGAGCAAGCCGCGGGGATATGTCTATTTGAACATACACATTCACAAGGGACCATGTTAAACTAGACCCAAGCCTGTGTAAATGTTTCTCAGATACCCAAGTTAAGATGGAAGAACATTTGAGCATTTTCTAAATCGGCCAAGTTTATGCAATTTGGCTTCCTGTTCTCTTTCTATGGCAGCATTGAGCCCCACAGTGCAGGCTGGCTGTTCAGGTTGGTTGCCTCTGGGAGTAGGGCTCAGGAGAACACAAGCATTTTCTGGGTAGAGGGTTTTTGGTCTTCAGATCCCCATGAATAGGAGAGTAGCTGTATTTCTACGTGGCTCATTCAGTTCTGCAGGCCAAGGGTATAGATTCTGTTAGTGGGTTATGTTTGCTCTGTCCAGAGGCTCACTATGTCTACATACTTCACACCTTGCTTGTGAGCTTAGACATGTGGCCCCTAGTCACAGAGGGGATGAGCTGGGAGAACGAATAGATTCAAATGAATCTGTGGCCTGAGCAACTGTGTTTGCATCGTGTTCACTGTTTGGGTTCGTTACTTTCTCAAACACTTCAACCAGTGTTCCAGAAACAGATCATTCTCTGGACACTGCTTGTATCAGGGTGGATCACACGTGGTGGGAGAGCACCTGAGATCTTTGAATGGAGCCAGGTTAGGACGTCCTGGAGGAAGGGAGGACAAAGGGGGTGAGAAGAGCAGCCTCCTCCCTTTGCCCTCCTGACTTCAGAGTTTGTGGTGAAAGCAGGCCTCTCTGGAGTACGCAAATCGAAGACAAGCCTCACACCTGAAATCCAAGTAGCCCCTTGGAGTGGATAAGGGCTGATCCCAGAACTCCACTGGGAGGATGAAGCAGGAAAGGGAATGCACTAACATAGTTGCACCTCCTGTACAGATTTACCTCACAGACTAGTGTTGATGGCGAAACTTGGGTGCTTGAGGAAATTGGCATGCTAGGCAAGAAAGTGTTGACAGAGGAGGAAAGGCAGACAGCTAGGAGAGTTGGTTTACATGGACAGGTTCTTGGGCAGTAGGGATGGAGTGAAAGGTAACCACTCAACACTACAGAGGCCTCTGTCTTTTGCTGCTGCGTCCTGAGTCCTGTCTCCTGGCACACATGCTTCCCCTGTCTGGGGGAGTTTGCTGACACATGTGTTCATCTTGGAGACGGTGGCCCCAGTGCTGTGCCTCACTTACACTGAGAGAGTGGGATGGAGTGTTCCATAAGAGGAAAGAGACAGCCTCCCTGTGCAGAAACCTGCTAGAGAAGGTGATGTCATTTGTCAATGCCTTTCAGGATGTTTGGACCAGGAAGAGAATACAACTTCACAAGGCCCAATGAGAAGGGGGAGTATGAGATTGCGGAAGGGATCAGCGCAACAGTGTTCCGCACAGTGCTGGTGTGTAACTGCCGTTTCCTTCTTCTGTCCTCTTCTCTGTGGCCTGCTGACTTGTGGGTCTCTGGGTTTTCAGTTGTTGCTTCTCTCTTTTCTCTGCCTATAACTTTTAATTCCTTGCTTGAGTGAGCTCACTTGTCAAGCTGATTACACTTGGATAGCCAGGAGCCACTTTGCCACTTAACGTACCAACCAGCTTGACTCCCAAGACTCCACTTCTGTAGAATCAGGAATGTGTAGGGTAGAGAAAGGCATATCTATCCTGTTCTTTGCCTACATTTCCTCTTCCTCATCTGTTCACAGGATTATTACAAAACTGGCATCATCAATTGTCCTGATGGCATCTCTATTCCAGACCTTAGAGACACATGTGACTATCTCTGCATTAACTTTGACTTCAACACTATCCGATGTCAAGATCTGAGTGAGTACAGGAGCAGTCGGAGCTGCACTCAGCCGCTGAACTTTCACTGTGCGTGGCAGTAAAGGGGTCTCGTGTAGGTTGAGAACCACCAGAGTATAGACATCCTGTTGACCAACCCATTCTATCTTGCTTTAAGGGATTGTAGGGAACAAAGGAAATCACTTGGGTGTTGTGGCTCACACCTATTATGCCAGCACTGAGAAAGCTTAGGCAGGGGGTTAACCATGAGTTGAGGGCCAACATGGGCTACAGAGTGAGGCCTTGTCTCAAGAAACAAAATAGCCAGCCGTGATGGTGCATACCTGTAATCCCAGCACTCAGGAAGTAGAGGCAGGTGGATCTCTGAGTTCAAGGCCAGCCTGGTCTACATAGTGAGTTCCAGGCCAGCTGGGGCTACAGGGAGACTTCAAAAAAAAAAAAAAAAAAAAAGAAGAAACAGAAACAAAGAGGCTAGGGTTTTGATAGGGTGGTAGTTGATAGAGTGCTTGCCTAGTATGCATGAAGCCCTGAGTTTGATCCTTGGCACCACATCAACCAGACTTGGTAGTTAGGCGTGTAATCAAAGCACTTAGGGGATGAAGGCATGAGGATCTGAAGTTCAAGGCCATCCTTGATTACATACTGGGGTCAAGGCCTGCCTGAACTACATGTCTCAAAAAAAAGTTAACTGTCCAGCTAGTCACCAAGGTAACTGCTTCCTTCTTGGGTAAGACTGTGGTGATGTCAGCTCAACAAAAAAGGGTCCTGATTGTTGGTAAGGAAAGGCTTACTGATAAAGCTAAGCATCACCTTGGAGTAGGAAGCAGCCTCTGCCTTTAATGTGGCTCTTCTCTGTCTATCCTTAGGGTGCCAGCTGTGGTCTTAGTCCCCAGTCAGGAGACTTCCCACAGGAAGCTCAGCTGCCTCTTCTCTCCCCAGGTGCTCTACTCCACGAACTGTCCAATGATGGTGCTCACAAGCAGTTTGATCACTACCTTGAGGAACTGATTCTGCCCATCATGGTGGGCTGTGCCAAGAAAGGAGAGCGAGAGTGCCACATCGTCGTGCTGACAGACGAGGATTCTGTAGACTGGGATGAAGACCACCCCCCACCCATGGGGGAAGAGTATTCCCAAAGTAGGAGCCCCCTCAGGGTGTGGATGTATTCAACAAGAAAAACTGCCTAGAATAGCAGCAAGACCATAGAACCCAGGCAGATAATTACCAACAAAAGAGTGACACATGCGGCCCAGGATGGTGAACTGCTAGCAGTGCAGGTCCAGCCTTTATGCTGGGAAGAGACAGCCATTGTTATCCCTCTCCCTCCTACCCTGCTGCCTGGTACTCGCCAATCCTGAAGCTATAGGTTAAATTCTCTTCCATTTCATTTTTAAACTTCATTGATGTGGTAATAATTCAAATGTTAAAAAGTAGGTTTCCAGCTATATTCAGTAAACAAGTCCATGGTTGTATTCTCCCTTTTAAACAGTGATCCTATGCTGTGCAGACTGGTCTGTACCATGTCTTACATTAAAAGCTTCACATTCTTTTTATGGCTATATAATATGGCATGAATGTGCTATAAATTTGTTTGTCCTGTTGGACATTTAAGCATAAATTATGATATACAATGATTATCTTTTTTTTTGTCTTTTTGAGACGGGGTCTCCCTGTAGCCCCAGCTGTCCTGGAACTCACTGTGTAGACCAGGCTGGCCTCAAACTCACAGAGATCTGCCTGCCTCTGCCTCCCGAGTGCTGGGATTAAAGGCATGTGCTACCATGCCCGGCAGAAGTTTTTACTTTTATAATTTTGATAGATGATGCCAAATTATCTTCCTTAAATGTTGTACAAATTTAGACTCATAAAACTATATGATTGAAGCCAGCATGGTGGCACATGCCTTTAATCCCAGCACTTTGGAGGCAGAGACAGGTGGATCAATGTGAGTTCAAGGCCAGCCTGGTCTACATAGTGAGTTCCAGGCCAGCTGTGGCTATAGGGAGCCCCTGTCTCAAAAGGACCCAAAAAAAAAAAAAAAAAATAGAAAGAAAAGGAAAAAGCCTGTATGAGGCTGGAGAGATGATTGAGCAGTTAAAGAGCACTGACTGTTCTTTCAGAGGACCCGGGTTTAGTTCCCAGCACCCACATGGCAGCTAACCACCATCTCTAACTCCAGTTCTATGGGATTCAATGCCATCTTCTGGCCTCTGTGGGAATTGTGTGACACAGGTACACTCCCATAGATGCAGGCAAGTCACATACACATATACCCAAAATAATAAATGAATGAATAAAATTTAAGTGATAGACCTGGGATACTTGTAATCTCAGTTGTGAGGAAATGGAGGCAGAAGGATCAACATGTTAGTTTGAGGCCAGCCTGGGCTACCTAAGACTCTGCCTCAACAAAACAAAAGGTAATATGGTAGACTGGTTCCCTATATCCTCACCAGAACAGTTTAAAAACTTTCATTGACCAGATATGATGGTACATACTCTTAACCCCAGCATTCAGGAGGCAGATTTGGGTATATCTCTCTTTGAGACCAAGGCCAGCCTAGTCTACATAGTTCCTGTCTGAAAAATAATTTTTTTTTTTTTTCAGTCTTTTTGAGACAGGGTCTCCCTGTAGCCCCAGCTGTCCTGGAACTCACTATATAGACCAGGCTGGCCTTGAACTCACAGAGATCCACCTGCCTCTGCCTCCCAAGTGCTGAAAAATAAAAACTTATCATGATCCTGACATGGTGTTGCTGATTAGTAAACTCAACATTAGAGAGGCTGAAACAGGATTAAAGTTTGAGGTCAGCCTGGGCTATATAGTATGGAAACCCTATCTCTTTTTTTTTTTAACTTTAAAAAAGAAATTATTTTTATTTTATGTATATGTGTATATTGCCTCCACAGATTGTAGGTAAGTGTGCCTGTGTTGTGCAGTGCCCTCGGAGGTCAGAAGAGGCTGTTGGATCCCCTGGGACTGGAGTTACGGACAGTTGTTAGCTGCCATGTGGGTGCTGGGATTTAAACCCGGGTCTTCTGCAAGAACAACCAGTGTTCTTAACCGCTGAGCCATGTCTCCAGCCCCGGAAACCCTGTCTTAAAAACAAAACAACAAATCATCTTTGCCATTCTTTTAGTAAACTTAGAAAAAAGAGCATCTCCTGGTCAGCATGACTTTCATACACATCAGCTTCATGAGTGAGGCTTTTAAAAGACTTTAGCATTTAGCTAGGTGTGGTGGTACATGCCTTTAGTCCCAGCACTTGGGAAGCAGAGGCAGGTGAATGTCTGTGAGTTTGAGGCCAGCCTGGTCTACATAGTGAGTACCAGGCCAGCTGGAGATACTGGGAGACCCTGTCTCAAAAAAAGACCCCCCCTCCAAAAAAAAAAAAAAGACTTTAGCACTTAATATTGATCCATCTTGATCCTTTTGGCATCAATGGTCAAATCTCCATTTCATGACTTGATTCTGTTACCTCATCTCCATGGCTAACCCCAGGCTTTGTGAATTTTATTTCAGTTCTTTACAGTTCCAAGCTCTACAGATTCTTCAAGTATATTGAGAATCGAGATGTTGCTAAAACAGTATTGAAAGAACGGGGCCTGAAAAACATTCGCATTGGAATTGAAGGTATTTAAAAGTCCCAGCCAATATTCAGGTTGCATACTTACAGGATAGGGTGGGTCTATGCCCATAGTTTAAGCCTTTGAACTTGGTTTACAGAGCCTCGAGAACAGGCACACGCAAAAACTCCATTTCCACTCACTGAAGAGACCTGCTTTTATTACAGTTTGCCCCAGATTTGCACTTTGCCTTTTCTTCAGTTGAAAAGCTGTGAAGCAGTAATAGGCCTGGGCCGAGTGTTCCTTAGGGTCCTCAGCCCCAGGGCCTGAGATCCTGGGTGATTGTGGTCCTGGGCTCACTGTCATTTGGCCAGTCAGCTCTGAGCATGTTTCTAGAATCTAAAGTTATCTTTCAGAAAACCAGAGCTTAGGAACTCTTAAGACTCTACTATACCTTTGAAAGAGTGTCTGGCTATGGTAACAGACTGCTTTAGGTAACTTGGCAGCAGCTTCCACCCGTGGTCCTGGTTGAAATATTTGGGACTGCTCTTGAAGGATGTGGAAACCTTCCTGCTTGAGTCTTCAGCTCCTGTCTTACTACCTCAACGCTTGCCTACAGGACTCATCAAACCATCCTTATGTCTGACTTAGGAATTTTGAATTAGAAGAAACTTTCAAGAATCTATCAGCCTTCCTCCCTTCCTGTATCTTTTCCTTGTTTCTGGGAAGGTCTAGGGACAAGGTGGTAAGAACCTCCCCTTCGTCTAGGACATCTGCTAAGCTGTTCGGCTGGAAACTAAATGTCCAAAGCTGACTGTCTCCCTTTCCTGCCCTCTGCCCAGTTCTGCCTGCACCACTGCTTGGATTATGAATCCTGGATCCATGAAGGCCTTCTGGGTATTTTAGGCATCACATATTTTTCCTTCAAACATCCCACGCCACATTTCCCTATTTTTCACTTGTACCTTCTAAGCAACAGAATTAAGAGGACAGAGTAGGTTCTGGAGAGATGGTCAGCAATTAAGAGCACTGGCTGCTCTTGCAGAGGACCCAGGTTTGGTTCCCAGCACCCACATGATAGCTAACAACTGTCTTAACTCCAGTTCCAGGGGATCTGACACCCTCTTCTGACCTTTGTGGACATTGCACAACATGGGCACACTTACATACATGCAGGAAATACACTCATACACATAAAAAATTGCCCTGGACTACCTTATGGGAGTGGAACCTATTCCCCTGGTTTCTTTTCCCCTTTCATTAGAATGGGTAGAACCCTTGTTACTTCACACAGAGTGGTCCCTGCTAGGAACCTGGGGGCATGAAAAGGCCTGACTACATCCCATTTAGCTTTTCTTGCCGTTTTAGACTTAGAAGAAGGGGAAAAATATAGTTTACCAGAATCGTTAGAACATTATACTTCCCTGTTGCAGGTTACCCTACCTGTAAAGAAAAAATTAAGAGAAGACCTGGTGGGCGGTCTGAAGTTATCTACAATTACGTGCAACGCCCCTTTATCCAGATGTCCTGGGAAAAGGAGGAAGGAAAGAGTCGCCATGTGGATTTCCAGTGTGTTCGCAGCAAATCCCTCACTAATCTGGTGGCTGCCGGCGAGGATGTCTTAGAAGACCAGGAGATAATAATGCACCACCCACCACAAGTGGATGAACTTGACCGGCTGAATGCTCCACTTTCTCAGATGGCTCCAAATGACTTTCAGGATTAGGGACAGCGAGAGCCCCTCCCCCTTGCTGGAGCTCTACTCTGGGGGATTCCCCCGCCAGGCTTCCCTGTGGTCTCTCACCCTGAGGAGATGCTTCTCTCCTGTCTACTTCGTTCCCCTCACAGTTATCAACACCCTTTGTAAGTCTGTGCCTCTGGCAAGGGTGAGGAAGCTCTCTGGTGATTACCAATTTTGCAGCAGCCCTGGTAACATGAACATTTTGGGTTTGGTGCTGTTCATTGTCTGCATAGCTGCAAAAGCAGGAAAGGACAGATTCCTTTTGCATCAGGCAAATTGCTTAGCAGCAAAGGGACCAAACATCACAGGAGACAATCTGTCTGCTAGAGCAGGCCCTAGGGTGCTGTGCCAGGGCTGGGTGAGAAGCCCTGGGGTACTGCACCCAGATGGCATCAGGAAAGGATGTCTGAAAGGGAATTCTCAAGTGTAAGTTCAGCTTTGCTTCTCATTAGTTGAAGGAGCAGTCGAAAAACGAGACAGGTTCTTTGGCAGGAAGAACAGTGACAGAAGTGTTTGTGAAACCTTTCAGCATCAAGTTTATGAACCTAAACAAGCTGATGCTTCATTGGGAACGAAGCTTCCAATTCCAAGTTAAGTGGCAGAACTCTTTGGACTCTGACTGGAAGCCACAGGTCGTAACACCTGGGCCAGACATTGCTGTGGGTGTGGCCAGCAGACCTGAGATGGGGCTTGAAGGCTTTCAAGATGAGGACAGAGATTCTCACAAGTGCCCAGTATAATCCTAGGAGAAGGCATTTGGGACCAGCTGGGCAGGAACTGTCACCTGTGCAGGCTGTCCAGCCTTGGCAGAGTCTTCCCCATGTTTTTCTCACACCATGCAGTTTGGTACATTTGAGCTTTTTAAGTAGCCTATTAGCTGTTCACACTGGATAAGAAAAACAGTGTTTCTGTCATGCCCCAAGTCAGGTCCAGGCCTGGTCATTTTGTTTGATGTGAGCTCTTACACGTATGGTGGATGACAATCCATATCATCCCTTCCTCTCAGATTTCCATGGCTGTTAGAATGCTAAGTCTAGAGGTCTAGAGCCCAGAGCCAGATAGTGTGCTTGGGGGTTGCCTCCTACTTCCTGGTAGAAGTGGACCTTCCAGTCAGTCCCCCACCCTGGGCATTTCCCATCTCAGATGGCACATAAACTGTTTCCTTCAAGCCCCTAAAGGAAAGACCATGGCTGGTTTGCTTAGGTTCTGCTCCCATAAGGTAATCGGAGCAAGCTACTTGTTGCATAGAATCAGGGTTTTGGAAACTTCTCACTGCAGGACTGAAGAACAAATGTTCTTCAAAGCATGTTTTCTGTGCATGTGACCAGCATCACAGCGGGAATCAGTGCAAGATCTTCCTCACTGAGAAAAACCAGAAGGAAGTGGTCCCTCAGTTTTTCTGATCATTGTTGTCTTGGCAAGGCCAGCGGCCAGTGTTTGGGTCAAGGGTTAGGATTACTTGTGGCTGGAGGTTACTTCCACGAAGTTAATTGGCTCATGTTTGAGGTTGGGTTTGGCCTTGCCCTTACTGGTACCACATTCATGCCCGCTAGCAGGTCAACCTAGATCCTTCTTTAATGGTGCTTCCTTTATGCTTCTTGGCCATGTGAAGTATGTTTGTGTGTCTGTGACATAACACTCAACATGTCACAGCTAACACTTGAAAACTAAATTTGTTTTTTCTTGGGTGAAAAAAAAAAGATGAAACTTGGTACTGCATCCTGTGTAATCAGTTAATTGCTCCAGGCTTTTATGAACTAGGTCTCCACCTCCACCCCCACCTCCCCAAAAATGTAGGTTAACATGCTTATGGACCCAGCCCATGGGGTTGAATTAGATAGAAAAGTGTGGAGGCTAATCCAGTCACTGGGGGTAGTGACTGAAGGGAAAATTGGAACCCCACGGGTTTCTTCTGGGAGAGAAGCTTCTGTACCCCAAGCCCCAGTCTTTCCAGTTGTCCCCAGAGTTGGGACATTATTCAGTGGCAGGACCTCACAGGATCTAGGGCTGGGTTAGTCTCCAGAATGGTTACTGGCCACATGGACAAGAAGAATTCCCCTAATAAAAATGGAATTTGGGCTTGGTGTCTTTCTAAGTGCCTACGCAAGTAACCAGGCTGTTTGCATGGAACAGTCTCTTAAGAGAATGTTTACCCAGGGGCTTAGCAAGATAAACCTGAACTTGAGACTTAAGAGTCCTCGGTTTGTGTCTGTGTCACATCTTGTAGAAAATACCTGCCACTGAGGAGCTGAAGAGAGACAAAGAAGACAGTATTAAGACTCAGATTATGACCTGGTTTCTCCACGGTGGAAAAAGATACTGAAGGGATGACCACAAAAGGAGTTAGATAGAAGCTGGCCTACTATACAGCATGCCGTAGCTGAGAGTGTAGTGTGGTATCTGAAGCCTACAGGCCTGTGGAGGTGCTCTGCAGCAGCCTGCGGAGGGTTGGGTGCCTGCAGTCCAGAGAGGCTGTCTATAGGTAAAATAAGTACTTGGATCATAGTCTTCGACTTAAATTGTCACACAGTGTGACTCAGTCTCTTAAGGGATTTTAGTGGTGATTGATGCCACTTCTTGTCATTGGTTTGAAACTGAAAAGGTTTGTAATGAGCTCAGCAGCAAGCCAGAGCTTCCAGGAGATGGAGCCATGTTGTCTGGACAGGATCACTTCGAATTACATTTTCTCCAAAGGGCAAAATGCTTGTAGGTTTTGCCTGTTTACTTTGTATTTACTTCTGAAGTTGCACTTGTTCACCTACCAGTGTTTACGAAATCCTGTACATGGGGTCCTTTTTCTATAATAAAATATTTTCATTTGTGTCTGTTGTTTTTTAGTAGAAAATAAAATCTTAAAACAAGTGACAAACTCACAGGAGTGGTGCCTGCTATCTGGGGCAGAGCCAATTCCTTTCCTCAATGACACAGGTCTCATCTGAAGCCTATGTGTGCCTTTCTACTGCCCTAACTTGGGAGCTCCGGGGCCCCAAAGGTCTGCCTTCTCAAGTTCATAGTTGCCATGGAGACCCCACTCCAAATAATCCTGACCCTTTAAAGCCAGATGTAAAATTGAAAGCTGAGGAGATTCACAGACTTCTGTGAACTACTTTTGGTTTAAATCAGGTGAGAAACAATGGCAGAAATACAAGGCAGGTAAGAAGGACAAGGTGGGGTCCTAGACAGGGTCCATGCAGAGGTAAGGACTGGTAGGGCTCAGATTCAGGCTCTGTATTGCTGTCAGGAGCCCTAAGGGATCTTGTGCAAAATGGTAGACCAGACCTGAAATTTAGAATTTAGCAGCAAAGAACAGGTTCAAAAGGGCCTTAATGAGCCCTTCCAGATGGCAGTTTCTAGTAGCACTTGACTATAAGAGTACTAGTTTCAGGGGCTGGAGAGATGACTCAGCTAGAGAACTGGTTCTCACAGAAAACCCGGGTTCAAATCCCAGCACCCACATGGCAGCTAACAACTGTCCGTAATTCCAGTCCCAGGGACTCTGACAGCCTCTTCTGACCTCCAAGGGCATTGCACCACACGGGTACACTTACCTACGTGCAGGCAATACACACACATAAAATAATAAAGTGCTAGGTTCAGTTGAATCAAAGGACTGAACTTCAATACATAAGTGGATGTTGGAGCCACAGTAAGATGGCAATCAAGTGGGGGCAAATGTGTGCCAGCATTTAGGGCGAAGATCAGGGATGACCAAGAGAGGAAGAGTTTGGCCATGCACATACAGCAGGTTGGCTGAATGAAGATGGGAGGAGTGGGTATGGTCCTGGGAGGGACACCAGGAATGACTAAAATTATAGACTCCCTGCTAGATGTAGTGGTGGTGCATGCCTGCAAACCCAGCACAGGCAAGAGGATTGTGAGTTCAAAGCCCACCTGGGCTACATGAGACCATTTAAAAAACAAAATGCCAGTCTGGTTTCTGTGTGGGATACTGAACATCACAGACGGGACTGAAACCAGACTTAAGTGAGCTAAACTGGGGAGAGGGAATCACTGCTGCTTGGGCAGCTGCTTTGGGCTACTGGCCTGTTGTGCTGCAGCACAGATACTGCACTGCACCCCACTAAGACACTTCAGGATTCCCTCCAAGTGACCTGCAGCTCAGAACCATGATGGTGCCCAGCATGGAGCTCTGAGGAGGGAAAGCCTAAATGGTGGGGGCGGCATGATCTCAAGCACCACAGAGCTTTTTTGGGGGGGGGGGCTTTTTTTGAGACAAAGTCTCCCTGTAGCCCAAGCTGGCCTGGAACTCACTATGCTTACCAGGCTGGCCTCAAACTCAAGAGATCCACCTGTTTCTGCCTCCCACACGCTGAGATTAAAGGCATGCACCACCACACCAGGCACGGAGCCTAATTTTTAAGTTGGTATTGGCTTTCATAAGACAATCCAGGGAAACATACACTACATAAGTTTAGGTGCCACTGACTGGATTCTTTTCAGCTGAAAACCCCACATGGGTTATACACAGAGGCCCATGAGGGAGACACAGGACAAGCACAGTGATCTCATTCAGTTTCATTTTAATAACTAATAGGGGCCTAGTAATATAACAAAGTTTTATTTTTATTTTATTTTATTTTTTTTTTGAGACAGGGTCTCCCTGTAGGCCCAGCTGGCCTGGAACTCACTATGTAGAGCAGGTTGGCCTTGAACTCACAGAGATCTGTCTGCCTCTGCCTCCCAAGTGCTGGGACTACAGGCGTGTGCCACCACGCCCAGCTATTATTTTCTAATACCCCCCAATAAAGTAGAAAATGAAATTATCTGTGAACAGGATCAAAACTGAGCCAGGGTTTCCCAGACTGTCCCCCGGAATCCATGAGCCATGAAGCAAATTGACCCATTCTGGCTAAAACGTACCTTCCCTCTGCCTCCTGCCCTTCTTGCCCTTTTCTTCCCATCTCCTCTTCATGAGATTGGCTAGGGTAGCCCAGGCTGGCTTCAGATGGAACTATGTAGCAAGAATAACCTTGAGATGATTCTATCTCCACATCCTCAACCCACCTCTTGCCTATTTTTGAGGTTCTCCCCCAAAAGAAAGACTAAGAAGAAGGTTCAGTCCCAACACAACATAAATAGTGGCATGCACCTATAATCTGAGGAGGATTTGGTCATCCTGTGCTACACAGTTGAGTCTGAAGCCAGCCTGTAATACAAGAGGCCCTGACTAGAGTGGAGGGGTAAGAAATAAAGGGCAGGGCCAGCAAAATGGCTCAGTAAGTACAAGCACTTGCCACCAGGCCTGATGGGCTAAGTTTGATCCCCAAGACCCCGTTGAACGAAACTTAACCCCTCCAGGTTGTCCTCTACCACACAAGCCATACACATACATGTGCACATATATACACACACATAAGATAATTTTGAAAAAGGAAATAGAGGGCTGAGAAGTCCTACCCTGTGAGCCTGAGATCCCTGGTTGGCCTCAAACTGGGGGCTTGAGTAATGGCTCTACCTTCACTCAGTCAGCAGCACAAGTCAGCTCAGCTGGTCCTTGCCCTTACTGGGGCAGAAAGAACAGGCAGATGCATGGGGCCAGAAGTAGTCTCCTGTGGACACCAATTCAGAACAGTTCCCTGCACACAAACTTGGGTGGTCTCAGCCTCCTTGGGATAGAAAAGCATTTTGCATAAAGATGACAGTGCGGTGTTCCATGTCTCTGAACTGGAGGAGCCACCAGTACTCACTCAGCTTGTTTGAACTATGAGTAAGGGCTGCTTTAAAATCCATCACTTGAAACACAGATAACACCAGATTTCCATTACTGTTGTCACAGTTTATTCAAAGTTTAATAGTTAAAATGTGGGCATTTTCCCCAAACAAACCACCCCCACCACACAGACTACCACTACACCACTGCGACTTTACTCATGCTTACCACACATTCTTGCAAAACTCACAGGGATCAGGACTCCACTTGTATAATACAAAGAGACCTCAAACTCACAGAAAAGACTCATTTCCTTTTCACTAGGAGGTTATATATAAATGAAAGATTAAAGAGCTAACACGTCACCTTTATCCAGAGCAAACCTCATTAACATTGCTTTTTCGTCATCTTAGATATGAAAATTCAAAGCAGTTTTACTTACAACTGCAAGACTGACATTCCATCTTCCTTTCTGAATGGCTGAGCTAGGACAAAGCTGACCTTCACAACCCCAAGACTGTCCTGGGAGAGGCTTGGCCATGCTGCTCTGCAAGTTACCACACAAGTGCAAATGATGCTTTAACAGTTACCAAAACCTAAAACCAAAATCTAATAATGCATTAATATGGAACCTCCACATTTTTTCTGACGCAGCAAAAGTCCTCTAAAGGTGGCAACAGCTGTGACAGAGAAGGCACTTTGTGCTAAATTCAGAGTTTCTCATGTGAGAACACTACGGCAGAGGCCAGGTCAGCCCAGCTGCAGGTGACCCTTTAGTGGGGGCACATACCCCCCAGGAAGGCATCTGCAAAGGAAAAATTTGCAATCATGATTCCAAGGCAAAACGGCTACTTAAAAAGTTGGGAAAGGAGACACATTACACCAGGGATCGAGCAAGCTCCACCAGGACCTATCAGCCAGTGGGCTGTGTGAGCTTTTCTACTGGGTTGGTTCTGCCTCATCTTCCAAGGAGGCAGTGAGATCATGCAAGGCAGCACCTGAGCCTCCACCTGGGTGCCCTGCTGTGTTCCCAGGAACAAATCGCTCTGCTGCTCACACTCACAGGTGTTGCTGGTAGGCAGCATTCATCTTCGGATCTTCATGTACAGCAATGAAGAGAAACTGAGGGTTGTCCACACGATCCAGACTCCTTGGCAGTGCTCAGTGGCTTCATGGGCCTTCTATGAGCAACAGTGGATCAAGCTGGTGCCCCCATCAACAAGCAGAAGAGCAGCATGAAACTTCTGGGTGGGTCGGGGAGAGAAGTCAGTGGATTCAGAGTCATTGCCCTAGTACCATAAATAAAGTGCACCATGAATGATGGCTCCAGGAAGCCACTTGCCAAGGCCGAGGTATGGGGACAAGCCACAGCCACCCCTCAGGATGGGGATCTCTTCCTTCAGCCACACTGCTGGCTGCTTAGACACTTTCATTATTGCTTTATTTCTTTAGTACTATGGAACTTTTAGCTATACAGAGCAAAGAAATACTTGGTGGGCTTGGCAGGTAGCATGTCGCCACATCACAGGAATTGGCTGATATTCAGTATATATTATCTCAATAATGTTGAATGATGGCAGTTTTTCCCCTTCACTCTGATGAACTTAGGAAAACTCAAATTCTCTTAAAACACCTAGCAAATTGGCTCACAATGCTTCTAAAGAAGCAAGACAGCTGTTTGTGGCCGACAGAAGCACTTGTCTTTGTCCTGTCGGTTTCCAGATGCACTATGGAGAGAAATCCACTTACTATCACATTTCAGAGGCTTTACTATGACATGTCAATGGGTTCATAAATTTCTTGGAAGCTCTTTCAAGAGCGTGAGAGGAAAACCATGTTGTATAGAGAACTCTGCTTCATTTAGGACTCACAGCGTGGCTCCTATTTCGCTGCCTTCATGTAGGAAGGTATGGCCCCCCTGGCCGTCAGGCCCTCAAAGCGCTTGTATGTGTAATTGATGAAGACCCAGTCTTTGTTCTTGTAGTCAGTCTCGGGATGATTACTTGTGGTCACTGGGAAAGAAAAAGAAGCAATACTCAGTCACTTCCTTACCTTAGTCCCAGGGCCTAGACATCCTGAACACACCCAGAGGGCTATTGTTCACTCTGTGCAAATTTTGTTTTGTTCACCTGTGTTCTCTGAACCTTCTATTTCTGTGCAAATATTCTAAAACTTTAATTTTCTTACTCCTGTCATTTTGGTTTCCCTAACCTTTAACTTAATGAACTGGAAGAGGAGATATTTGTAACTAACCCGTCTAGCTCAATAATCTAAACATGGGCATTTATATTCACATTCCCACTATTCTCACTGCTAACCCAGCACTAAGACTGGAAAAATGCTTATGGAGGATCAGAAGTAAGTTCTCTACATTCTGTTTTGGAAACATCACCCCAAATCACAGGGATTGAAATAACACAATCAGAAGGCCAAAGAGGCAATGCCAATGAAATTACCTGTTGGCTTAAGAATATCAGATTCTGGAAACTCGTCGAAGTTTGAGGTGTCATCAATGCTTTTAATTTCAATAGATATCGCAGCAGGTCTCTCTCTGCCAAAAACAGGCCCAAAATCACTACAGCTACCATTCATATGGAGGATGCTGACCTAGTCTTTCTCCCAAGATCCCTAGTCTGACATGGGAAGATTGTTCACTGGCATGCAGACTTTTATTTTTCTCTGAATGCTGACCAAGCCAATTGACTACATACAATAAAAAATTAACTCAACCATTCATAGTGAGAAAGACAGGAATAACATAGGGAAACTATGTTCTGGGTTAATGGACCCCAGTGACCCGCCTTCTACTAGAAGGGGAAGCAGTCTGGAAATAGCTTCATGTACAGCTCCACCACTGGCAGGGTGCCTAACAGAGGTGGCAACAGGGGGAAAGGTCAAGACCACCAGGATGCCGGGCCTGCTGGCAACATCCTGTAGTCTGGTACTTGGAGGCTAAGGAAAGAAAATAGTGAGTTCAAGACTAGCCTGGACTATATAGTCAGACATTAAGGCAGCAATGGATGAATAATCATGAAAATAAGAGTGCATACACACTAGGCAATACTATTCAGATGCCAAAAAGAACTTGTCAGCTGCAGCAGCATGGATGAACTTGGAAGACATTTGCTGGGTGAAACAGGACAGGCATAGAAGGCAATACTACATGAGGTTATGTCCTCATATACAAAGTTATAAAGAGTTAGTTCATGGAAGTGGAAACAAGAATGGTAGATACAAGATGCTAAAAATGAAGGATTGATGAGAATGGGCCATCTGTCAAAAACAGGAGAGTATTCCAGTAAGATAGAAAGAATACACTTTAATGAACTGTTACACACATGATCATTACAGCTTTGGTTTCTATTTTTTGAGACAAGGTTTCACTATGTAGCCCTAGGTGCCCCAGAACTTGCTATGTAGATCAGGCTGGCCTCCAACTCAGAGATCACCTTCCTCCATCTCTCAAGTGCTGCAATTAGAAGCATGTGCCACCATGTCTGGTTCATGATCGTTATAATTAACAGTGACTTAGTGTAAATTTCAAAAGAGTACATTTTAATTATGCTTACCATAAAGTATATGAAGTGATTAATATGTTAATTATCGAATAATTTTATACACACACACACACAAAATAACATTACATTGTGTCCTAAATATATGTCAATTGGGAATAAGATGAAATAAAGCATGAAAAAAAAAATCACAATAATACAAATCAGAACAAAATTATAATATAAAATCACAACTTCCTCACCTTGTTCAGCAATCAATGAGTGCTGATTAAGGTCTGTGGTGCCAGGGTAGTTCAGGTGCTCACAGCCATTGGCAGCACCTCCTCTCCCTCCCCCTTTCTCTCTTTCCACCCTCTGTCCTGCCTCCCTCCACTTCTACTCTCCGGTCCTCTGTCTCCCAGTAACAGCCTCTAGCTTGTGTGCCAGGCAGCCTCCCATGGAGGCCCTCAACCCTAGAGAAAGTTTAGGTAAGGGCAAAGACAACACGCTTCCTAGATACCCTGTCCCCATGGAACCGGGTTCACTTCACTCTGTCAGGAACTGCTGAATCCAGGTGGAACACGGCTGAGAAGCCTGACTCCTGATTTTTACCATGACTGAAAATTCAGAAAGATCCTGGTTCTAAGGAGCTCTTTTTTGCTTAGCTTGCCTATGATAATCCTTCCAAATTACTATTAAGGAAACCACAATCTGGGTATGGTGGCACATGCTTATATCCAAGGACTTGGGAGGCAGAGAATCAGGAGTTCAAGGCCATCCTTAGCTACATACCTCACAGGAGACCAGCCTGGACTACATGTGACCCTGTCTGCAAGAAAAAATATTCTGTGGTTGGCAAGATGAGGTAGGTAAAGGTGCCTGCTGTGTTGCACCTGACAACCTGAGCTTGACCCTTAGAATCCATGTAAAGGTTAAAGAACTGACGCATAAAGTTGTCTTCTGACCTCCACATGCATACCATGCCATAAGCACACACACCCCTACAGACTCGGCACACATAGTAGTAATTTTTTTTAATGCTGAAAGTTTTTATATGGGTTTATACCTGATATGTTCCCAGTCAACACCTTCAAAAAAAGGATTATTTTTTATTTCCTCAACTCCAGGAGCTCCAATTCTGTGTTCCCATTCACAGCAGAACCTGAAAAAAACAAGCTTTTCAGCATACCTCAGTTTCTTCAGAAAAAAAAAAGGAATAGTCAGGCTCCATCATTCTCTCGCTTTCCTTTCTCTCTCTTCTCTCTCAGTGGGAGGAAGCAGGGTAAACCCAGAGATAATGGGGAAAAGGATTTATTCATGTCGAAAGACCTGAGCAGGTAGAAATGCTCTGTTACCTCAAAATTAGATCCTTGGCTTTCTCAGAGATGGGAACCTCTGGAGGAAAGGTCAAAGTTTCTTTCCAGTTCATCACCTTCTTATATGTCTCTTGAGGGGTCTCAGAACAGAAAGGTGGATAGCCTGTAATAAAATAGAAAATTTGGAGCTTTTCAGCCCCAAAAACTGACAGAGGCAGTTCTTCTTAGCATGGTAGACATGTACGTCTCTAACAGGGACCTGACATTTCTGCATGTTTATTCCTCTGTGACACAGATAGAATTTCCACTCACCCCAGATAATTTAGTTTCCCACTTTTCCCACAAATCTGTAAACTCAAAGTAGAGCTATGCTTCTGATACCACTACAAAGCCAGATAATAGTCAGAAGGTAGGGAAAGGATGTAAGTAGTCATAGGGGTGAGAACCTTATGCCAGAGGAAGAAATAAAAAGATGAAACATCAGCTGGGTGTAGTTGCACACGCCTTTAATCCCAGTTCTCCGGAGGCAGAGGCAGGCAGATCTCTGTGAGTTTGAGACCAGCCTGGTCTACATAGTGAGTTCCAGGCCAGCTGGGTTTACAGAGAGACCCTGTCTCAAAAACAAAAAAAAAAAAAAAAAAAAAGGGAGGGGGGCTTGTGCTGTGAAAGTTTTGAGAGAGGAGGAAGACAACAAATTACAAGCCAAGAGAAAGCCAATGCCTTGTTAAAGCTCTCTGTATACAATAGCTGTTCAAAGAGCTGCCAGATGGAGAGAATGAAAGCACAGAAGAAATGAAAAAACAAACGATTAGCAAAGACAGCACAGATGCCAGGGAGCCTATGATTACAGTGGGATACATCTGATTGAAAAAGTTGTCTATCTAGGAAAACTTCACTTTGAAAGGCAAGTAAGGACAGAGCCTAGGTTGCCTCCAGGGGAAACAGTCTAACATTAATGTAGAAGTCTTTCTTGAGTGCACAAAAAAAAAAAAAAAAAAAAAAAAAAAAAACCCTGCAACTCACCGATAAGCATCTCATACATGATCACCCCAAGTGACCACCAATCGCAGAGCTTGTTGTATCCAGTCTGCATGAACACCTCAGGAGCAATGTAGTCAGGTGTCCCTACTGTAGAGAAGGCCTGAAAAATGTACCACATGTTAGGAAGGCCTGGCCAGGAGCAAGCACCCGAGCTCAGAATGCTATTCCAGAGACCAAAGGCCTCAAGCACCACCAGGAGCGCCCTCAAACTAAACAAGCACAACGGCCCAGGAACTGCATGCAACTCTGATCACCACAGCCCTTTCCAAATAAACAATAAAGCTTTGTTTAATTTTTATTTATTTGTTATTTTTATGTGTATGAGCCTATTGCTTGTATGTACGCATGTAAGTGTTGTGCAATGCCCAAAGAGGTCAGAAGAGGGCATCGGATCCTCTGGAACTGCAGTTTCAGACAGTTGTTAACTGCCATATGGGTGCTGGGATTCAAACCTCAGTGTTCTGCAAGAGCAGTCAGTGCTCTTAACTGCTAATCCACCTCTCCAGCCCACATTAAAGCTTTGTTAATGTGGCAAAAGACCCTAATTATACCCAAAGCCCATACCACCATTGACTGAGCACCCATGAAATACCAGGTTCTATACTCAACGAATGAGTCAAGACTTCTGTAAGGAAGAGCTCACTAGCCCAACGCCGTAGGTAAAATCTGACATCTAAAACCTCAGAACTAGTTAATGGACAGAGCCCAGCTTGGAGATTAAGTCTTGCTGCAGCTCATCCCTCTTTCCACCACAGTCTATGGCTTGAGAAAAATCACAAAGGGGAGTTCTATTATTAAAATCTAAAGACCCATCCTATTGGCTACATATATACAGATGTCTGCTTCCTAAACTCAAGCCATTTCTATGAATACGACTAGACGACTATTTTCCAAAATCCAATTATTTTGCTCTACTATACTAGGACTGCAAAAAGCAAGGAGGAAGCAGAGTGCAAGTCTTCCACTCAGGGTTTTGCATGTGTAACTTAAAATAAAAGTTACAGATATGCTGGGTGTGGTGGCACACGCCTTTAATCCAGCAACTCGGGAGGCAAAGGTAGGCAGATCTCTATGAGTTCAAGACCAGCCTGGTCTACACAGGGAGTTCAGGCCAGCTGGGGCTACAGGGAGACCCTGTCTCAAAAAGACAGAAAAAAAAAAAAAATCAGATCTATTCTCTTTAATATTATGAAACATAAAACACAGAGAAACAGAAGCAGTGAAGATATATTAGAGCTTAATACTCTTAATAATCTCCTATATTTGGGCCAGTGAGATAGCTCTGCAGGTAAAGGCACTTGCTATGCAAACCTGGTAACCCAAGCTCACTCTGTGAAACCCACGTAAAGGTGGAAGGAGAGCACCAGCTCCACAAATTTGTCCTCTACCCTCCACACACCCTCATTCTCTGTCTGTCTCTCTCTCTCATACACACACACACACACACACACACACACACACACACACACACAGAGCAAGTAAAGATTGAATTTAAAAAAAATAAGAGGGTAGAGATATCGTTCAGTGGCTAAAAGCACTTGCTGCTCTTCCAAAGGACCCCACTTTGGTTCTAGCACCTACTAGCACCTATGTCAGGCACTCGAAACCACCTGTAACTCCACCTCCAGGGGGATCTGATGTCCTTCTGAAGGTCTCTGTGGGCACCTGTACACATGTGGCACACACACACAGATGCATACATAAAAATAAATCTTAATTTTTTTTTATGTGTATGGGTGTATTGCCTGCATATAGGTAAGTATACCCGTGTCATGCAATGCCCGTGGAGGACAGAAGAGGCTGTCGGATCCCCTAGAACTGGAGTTAAGACAGTTGTTAGCTACCATGTGGGTGCTAGGATTCGAACCCAGGTCTTCTGCAAGAACACACACAACCAGTGTTCTTAACTGCTGAGCCATCTCTCCAGCCCCCTTAAATTTTTTCAAACCAATCTGTCTTATATATCTTAATTGTGTTTTGTTTTTTCACCAGGTTGAGGATTGAACCTAGGGCCTTGTACATACTAGGCAAGTGCTCTGTCACTGAGCTACAGCCCCCAATAATTTGGCTTTTTAAAAAGAAACAAAACTCTGGAAACAAAGTTCTATTTTCAGTACTTTCTGCCTGCCTAGTGAGGTAAAAAGTATTTGGAAGCTGGAGATAGCTGTTCTGTATTGATATACTCATAAACTATATATTACTTTTTGTATTTTTAAACATGTAATAAAGCATTTGATACTGCTTTATTTGTCAATGTAAGAACTCACTTTGTTTATTCAATATTGTTCTGAGATATTTTTTCACATCTAGTACAGGCATCTCTCTAGAATTCTCATGTTATATACATAAATCATAACAGTTTTTATCCTTTCTTCTATAAACGGAACTGTGCAGCTTCCAATGTTTACTATGGCAATACTTAAGCATTTTTTGTTTTTTTTTTATATTTTTTTTATGTGTATGCGTGTATTGCCTGCATGTAGGTAAGTTCACCCGTGTTGTGCAATGCCCACAGAAGATAGAAGAGGCTGTTGGATCCCCTGGAACTGGAATTACAGACAGTTGTTAGCTGCCATGTGGGTGCTGGGATTCAAACCTGGGTCTTCTGCAAGAACAGCCAGTGTTCTTAACCACTGAGCCATCTCTCCAGCCCCGCTTAAGCATTTTTGTAATATTTTCCTTGAGTACTGTGCAGAATTTCTCTGGTGTCATGGACTGCATATTGTAGGAATCTTACAGGGTCTTGAGTTATGAACACTTCAATTTAATGAGCTGTCTTCAACTGCTGTCCTCCATGGTGGCTGTTCCTATCTAAACTAGCCCAATAGTGATGAGCCCCTGGGGTTCTTAGCAATACTCGGCATGGCCAGGTTTCCAAATGCTATCAACTTGATGAACATGAAATGAGAGCTCTCAGTTTACATTTCCTTATTGCTGGTAAGCCTGAGCACATTTCACATGAGAATCGACCATCCCAGTTGCCTTCTCTTTTGTGAATTTCTTTTTAGGTCCTTTACTCACTTTTCTACTGTTGTACTTTTTTCTTACTGATTCATAGGAACCCTCTATGAACTCAGAACATTTATTAATCCGTAACAACATGGCAAATATCTTCTCTCAGCCTGAATTTTTTTTTTTTTGATAGGGTCTCATCATGTGGGTATGTACTATCACACCTGGTGAAACTTCTAATTATGGCTTTTCTTTTTTTTGGTCTTTTAGGACAGGGTCTCCCTGTAGCCCCCAACTGATCTGGAATTATGTAGTCCAGGCAGGCCTCAATCTCACAGAGATCCACCTGCCTCTGCCTCCAGAGTACTGAGATTAAAGGTGTGCACTACCACGCCCAGCCCATTATAGCTTTTCAAATGAAGCAATATTTAAGACAAACCAAATATATCATATACATACAAGTATAATTATTAAAGTAATGAAAAAAGATTGAATGAATAAACAAAAGTCAACTAAAAAACAAAATAGCAGAGCTGGTGAGATAGCTCAGCAGGTAAAAGTGCTGAGCATGAAGACTGTTGACCTGAATTCGATTCCCAGGACTCACATGGTAGAAGGAAAGAACTGAATCCCACTCAGTTTTCCTCTAACCTCCACACTCACCATAACACATACTCCTCCCAACCCCCAGGTCTTCTTAGGTATGTAGTTAACTGAACTGGCCTTGAACTGCTGATCCTCCTGCCTCCACCTCCCAAATGCTGGGATTACAGGTGTACGCCACACCTAGTCTTGGCACACTTTTTGAAATGTTCTTGGAGTACTTACAGTGCCAGTGTTAGTGTCTAAAATACAAAACATCAGTTTTTCAGCAAAGCAGTATCTATCATTTAAGATGTTTTTTCAGTGGAGGATCTCAATATTAACTGCACAGCAGAATTACCCTGAGTGCTTTAAACCTTAGACACCCAGACTATACTCCAGCCTGACTCAATTTGAATCTGTGTGGGTGAGGACCAGGCATGACTACCCTCAAACTTCCCAAATGCCTAAAACTTGCGGCCAAAATTAAAAAGAATCTCAAAGTTCAACGTAAGGTATTCTTTAAGGAAAGGAAATCTTTAAATATTTACTGACTATAAATTTATATGCTTGGGAGGGGGGGACTGGGGACTGGACCAGGGTTTTGTGCATGCTAGGCAAGCACTCTACTACTGAGTCACATTCACAGTCCACTTATGCCCATTTTTAAACTTGGACTGGTTTTAGCACTTCAGAAGCCACAGATGTTACTCACTAGCTGACGTCTGTTTCTTTTCCAGGTTTCTGCTTTCCTTTTGGAATTCATGTTCTGGAAAGCTAGAAGTAGAGAAAACAAGCTCTAATCAAAGTTCAGAAAAAAATATTTACTACTTTGGGGGGTGTTACCTACCCAACAATCAAAAACTCTAGGTGAGGCTGGGTATGGCAGCGCATGCCTTTAATTACAGCAACTGGGGAGGCAAAGGTAGGTAGAGCTGGAGAGATCGAGGCCAGCCTGGTCTATATAGTGAGCTCTAGGCCAGCTGGGGCTACGGGGAGACCCTGTCTCAAAAGCAAGTCTGGGTGACTCATTTCTCAGCAGGTTCAAGATCCCAAACCAGGGGCTCTAAAACATAAACTCAAAAAATTAGAGTAGGGGTTATAGAAAAATAATTTTTTTGGCTTTAAAAATACTATTTTCTTCTCCATATTTCAAACTATAGTTTACCTAGAATAAAATTTTTTTGGTCTTTTTGAGACAGCCCCAGCTGTCCTGGAACTCACTATGTAGACCAGGCTGGCCTCAAACTCACAGAGATCCAGCTGCCTCTGCCTCCCAAGTGCTGGGATTAAAGACGTGCAACCACATCTGGCTCATGAATACAATTTTTATGTGGATTATGTAGCCAAAAAGGTCACAAACAGGCCTTAATCAGAAGTACAAGGGATGAAGCTCAACTATATGTCAACTATAAATTTATGTTTTTCATTTTGTTTTGTATTTTACATTACTAGGTTAGGTTCACTATATGCTAGACAAGCATTTTCTATGATGAACTGTAATTTCTGTTTGTTCATGTATACATAGGTGCATGTGCGAGTGTGGAGGCTAAAGGACCTCAGGTGCCATTCCTAGGTATCACCTACCTCTACATCTCTCTCCCTCTCTCTCTCGAATATTTTTAAATATTTTTTTTTATTTTATGTGTATGAGTATATTGCCTGCATGTATGTAAGTGCGCCCGTGTCATGCAATGCCACGTAGGTCAGAAGAGGGCCGTCGGATTCCCCTGGAACTGGAGTTAAGGATGGTTTGTAGCCGCCATGTGGTGCTGGGAATCAAACCCAGGTTCTCTGCAAGAGCAGTCAGTGTTCTTAACCGCTGAGCCATCTCTCCAGCCCCTCTCTCTCTCTCTCTTTTGAGGCAGAACTTCTCACTGTTCTAGAACTAGCCCGAGGGATCCTCCTGTCTTCACTTTCCCAGTGCTGGGATTAAAACCATGCCTGGCTTTTTACATGCATTCTCTTCCCAGCCCTGAACTGTAATTTTATTACATAATCTTTTTTTTTTTTTTTTTTGAGATGGGGACTATATAGCCAAGGCTGGCCTGAAACTCAGAGATCTACCTGCCTCTGCCTCCCAAATGCTGGAATTAAAGGCCTAGGTTACCACATCCATCCCTACTACATAATCTTCAATGCTTTGATAGCACTCAAGTAAACGTAACCCTCATACATTTCTCTCTGACACACAGAAAGAAACAGCTAGAACAAATCCAGTCTGGAACCATTCCCAGAGGTCTGGAGCCATTCCCAGACATCTTCTATTACTTTGCTTGTCTACCCCATGTTCATGTCCAGCACCTTCTGGAGGGACCTCTAAACAAAGCTAGCAACATCTGCCTACCCTTGGAAACACTCAGCTTGCCAAGTCAGACACTACACAGACAATGTGGAAAAGTATTATTTGTGTCCCGAACAGTTTGGTTACCAGGGAAACAGCTCCTACATACCCAGCAAAGGATCAAGGCTGCTAACACTTACTGAAATCACTGGGGAGGCTGTGGTTCAGATTCCTATAGAATTCTGTCCTGTGTGCTTTTTTCAGGCCTGTGCAAAGGCCAAAGTCAGAAAGTTTCACATGGCCCTGTTGGGAAGAAGAAACAGTGATGAACATTCTTAACACAGAGCAGAATGTCCTCTTCTGCACCTTCCCAAAGCCATGACACCTCTAGTCAACATATACTTCTCCCCTAATCCTTTTCTACAGGGAAAAATATGTAATAACAAACTTTCAAATGAGTACTACAAATCCTACTATATGATTTTTTTAAAAAAATTTTCCATAGTATCTTTGGTGCAAATATAGACTTTTTAAAAATAGTTGAGGGTCAGTGAGATGGTTCAGCAGGCAAAGGTGCTTGCTGCCAAGCCTGATGAGCAGAGCCCAAGTCCCAGATTCTACATGACACAAGGAGAATCGACTCCTGCAAGCTGTCTTTTGACCTCCACGTGCATACTGTGGCACATACATCCACCTCCATAAATAAATGCAATACAAAATTTAAACAATAGTTGAACCGTCTATAGCAACTGGAGATGATTTTGCTACTTCTTTAATGAATAAATATAATAAAATATTCCTCAGCTTCTATATATGGTTTTCAAGATTCCTGTGTGTGTGTATGTGTGTGTGTGTGTTAAAGTCTCAGCTTTACACATGCTAGACAAGAACTCTACAGTAAACTAGACCTTCAGCTAACATTATCAATTTTGGGGGCTAGGGATATATCTCACCGGATAGAGTGCTTGCCAACCATGGTTGAGGCTCTATGTTCTATCTCCAGTCCGGCATAAACTGAGTACTGCATGCCTATAATCCTAACACTTGGAATTAAAGGCAAGTGGGAGGCAGAGGCAAGTGAATTTCTATGAGTTTGAAGCCAGCCTGTTCTACACAGTGACCTCCAAACCAGCCAGGGATACGTGAGATACAATTAACAACCAAAAATTACTGATTTCTTCCCTTTTTTCTGGAAACAGGGTCTTACTATGTAGTCCTGGATGGTCTGGAACTCACTAGGTAGGCCAGGCTTGTCTCGAACTCACAGAGATCCATCTGCCTCTGCCTCCCCTCAAGTGCTGGGATTAAAGGCATGCCCCACCATACTGAATTACTTTTTTGTATGTGTTTGTTTTGCATGAGAGAGAGGAGCATGGGAGCATGTATGTGTGTTAGGGAAGGAGAGGTACTGACATTTTTAAGGTCTACATAATAATCATATTCATTAAGTTCATTATTTACTCAACCATTCCTTAATACTGGATCCCTATGCCATTTTACATTCTCTGTTTTCATATAACATGGATTATAAGTGCCCTATGAGAGAGAGGGGCTGTTTCCCCAGCCTTAATTGTACTAATACCAATGACTTAACAAATGACTGTTAACTAAAAAGTCAACAAATTGATTCTTCTCCCCTTGAAATACTTCACTGGTACATATTCTAAGTAGTAAACTACCTAAAAGAAAAACAAACAAACAAACAAAAACCCAAACTGAAGGGAATAAAGTTCCTTGCACAGCTCTTAATAAATGTTGTGAGGTCTAGGCATGCATCTCAGTGATAAAGCACTTGTCTAGCATGCATGAAACACTGTATTTGATCGCAGCACTGAAAAAAGTGTTACCAGATAGTACTGTGATCAGAAGTCTCTGGATTATCATTTCCCTAAAGGAAAATTCATTTTCTTTTTTGAGACAAGGTCTCCCTGTAGCCCCAGGTGGCCTGGAACTATGTAGACTAGGCTGGCATTGAACTCAGAGATCCACCTGCCTCTGCATCCCAAGTGCTGGGATTAAAAGCATGTGCCACCATGCCCGGTGGAAAATTCACTTTCTATGAGCCAGTCACCATCATCAGTACCTTGTGTTTTCTCATTTTAACTTTTGTTGGGAGAGTTGGGATCTTGCTGTGTTGCCTCCTAAACTAGTCTCAAATTCCTAGACCTGGGCTCAGGCGCAAGTGACCCTTCTGCCTCAGCTAGGACTGCTATCATGTACTACTTGGCTCTTATTTTTAATGTTTCAGCTTTGGCCACCTACTTGAATACAATTCTCAATTCAAAACAAACTCTTTTTCTCTTTCTTTCCTCTTTCCTCTCCCTCCTTCCCCCTCCCCCTCCTTCTCCTTCTTTAGACAGGTCTCCCTACGTAAACCAGGCTGACCTTGAATTTTTGATGTCTGCCTTCTGAATATTAGAATTCCAATCTTGTGCTACAACATCCAGTTTATGCTAAGAATTGATTCCAGGGCTTCCTACATGCTAGACAGATGGCACTCTATCAACCGAGCCGTCATCCACATCCCCTCACACTTATCAGAGATTCCTCTTCCTCTATCTCCTGAGTGCTGGAATTAAAGACATGCACCACCATGCCTAGTCTCACTTGTCACTCTTAAGCCACAGGCCACCAATTCATTCATTAGATAGCTTGCTGGTGTAATGGCAGAACCAAAGCCAAAATCAACCTGTTTTGTCCCAAAACCAGGATTACTTTATCTATCTGAACCCCATTTAATTCATCTGGAAAAAGCAGCTAATGATACCCTTCTGTCAGAAATGAGAATTAGTGCATGTAAGGCTCCTAACATAATGCCTGGTAGTAGTAAAGGATGGTACAGTTTGAAGATGGGGAAGTTAAACCAAAACAGAAGAAGGAATCTTGATGCTCAAGATCACCGCTCGCTCATAGTCACACAACCTGAAGAGGGTGTGGTCAAGGGTAAATGGCTCAATGCCCATGGTCTCTGCATGACATAGCCTTCCTTCACAATATCCTCAGGCTTTAGCATATACTGCTAAAGCATATTGTGTTTCAAGGAAACCGTATTAGGTGTGTCCCGTGCGTGTGTGTGTATGTGTATGTGTTTTAGCAAGGCAAACGTACGTGTGTGTGTGTGTGTGTGTGTGTGTGTGTGTGTGTGTGTGAGCAAGGCAAACTGCTGAACAAGGACAGTTTTGAGCTCACTTTTTTTTTTTTTTTTCCTTTTTTTAGATTAGCAAATAACTTGTCAGCAAGACAAAGAACAGAGTTTCATTTCTACTTCTCAAGGCTATATGTTCTGCCTGGACATCTACAGGAAAGGAGATGCATTGAAAAGCAGTGCCTTAAGCTGGGAAAATAGCTCACTTGGTAAAGTGACTACCATGAAAGCATGGGGACCTAAATTTGAATCTCTACCACCCATCGAAAACTCTGGCATGGAGGCACGATTTGTATCCCCTGCACTGGGGGAAGGAGACATGTGGATCCCAGAGACTCACATTGGCTATCCAATCTCACTGAATTGGCAGGTTCCAGGTTCAGCAGAGACCCTGTTTCAAAACAGACTTGGTGGAACACGCCTTTAATCCCAGCACTCAGGAAGCGGGGTGGGGGAATCTCTGTGAGTTCCAGGCCAGCCTGGTCTACAAAGTGAGTTCCAGGCCAGCCAGGGCTGCACAGTGAGACCCTATTATTTCTATTATGAATAAACAGCAGCCAGGTGTGGTAGCTGTAATCCCAGCACTCAGAAAGATGAGGAAGGAAGACTGTGAGATCAGCCTTGGCTACGTAACACGACTGTCTTCAAAAAAGGTTTCCTAAATAACTATTTTAAAAGAATAATGTCAGGTTGCTTATTTTTTTAGAGTACTAACTTTATATAAATTGTAAACAGAAAGAAAAGTTATCGAAGTTATAAAAACAGAAACTGTGGTAATCTCTCAATTATGGAATTTTTAAACTATTTTTCTTTACAACTGTATATTGTTCTAATTTTCTATTATATGAGGTTATTCTTTTTCATTGATTGACAGTTGTGAGCCCCCATATGGAGGCTAGGAACCCGGGTCCTCTGCAAGAGCAGCCAGTGCTCTTAACTGCTGAGCCATCTCTCCAGCCCCTCTTCCCTTTTTATTACGTATAAAATAATGAGTTTCATTCTGGCATTTTTACTGAATTAGAACCATATGCAACCATGACCCTCACTTGTACCCCTCTATTCATATAGGGTTATTCTTACAGAAAAAAAAACTGCTAAACAGAACATTATCTGACAAGTTTCTTACCCTCTTGACACAGACAGATAAAGGTTTCCAAAGATAAGAATCTTCAAGTCTTTCAAAGTCAGTTAGCAAGTTATCAAAAGGCAGTAAGGAGGAAAAACACTAGGAATTAAATTTACTTTTCAACTTAGAAGACACTTTCAGTAGAGACAAAAATTCTGCATAATAGAACATAACATTCTAGAATTGTATTATTTTGTCTTTATTTTTAATAATATTTTATTTATTATTTTTATGTGTATGTGTGTATTGCCTGCATGTAGGTAAGTGCACTCGTGTCATGTAATGCCCATCGAGGACAGAAGAGGCCGTCAGATCCCCTGGAACTGGAGTTATGGACAACTGTTAGCTGCCACGTGGGTGCTAGGATTTGAACCCCAGTCTTCTGCAAGACCAACCAGTGTTCTTAACCACTGAGCCATCTCTCCAGCCCCTATTTTTGTCTTTTTTAAAGACAGGGTCTCCCTAGAGCCCCAGCTGGCCTAGAACCTGCTATGTAGACCAGGCTAGCCTTGAACTCAACAGAGATCCACCTGCCTCTGCCTCCCAGGTGCTGGGATCAAAGGCATGTGCTATCATACCCGGCAAGAATTTTAGACTAAGGGGACTTCAGAGCTTTTCTATATCAGTATGTCTGCTACCCAGATGAGAACAGTAAACCCAGGTAATAAAGAGATTTGGATTTCCCAAGGCAACACAAAGTCCAATTAGCAGCACAGTGATTCCCATTTACTATGAATTTAGGAGTAAGGCATATATGTGTATGTAAAGATAAATATAAGCAGACTATTACAGAGCCAGGTAGGGCTCTTCTTTACAAAAGATGATTAGGAGCCTGGACTTTATGACAGGCCTTTGCTATTGCTGCCTTACTTCCTGATTCTTCATTACCTGCTGAGGCTGCCTAACAGAAGGGGTCGAATAGCTGATGCATTAACAGTATAGTTAATTATATGCTAAGAAAAGATGATTATCTTTGCTTTATTAGAAAACTGATTTTGCTCCTGATGATTTGGAAGACTTATTTTTGTGATTTGTGTTTCAGTTTTCAAACAGTCTTCCTAGATAATCCTGGCTAGATTTAAAACTTCAATCCTCAACTGGGCGTGGTGGTACACACCTTTAATCCCAGCACTTGGGAGGCAGAGGCAGGCGGATCTTTTGGAGTTCAAGGCTGGCCTGGTCTACACAGGGATTTCCAGGACATCTGGGACTAAAGGGGAATCCTTTTCCAAAAAAACCAAAAAAACAAAAAAAAAAAAAAGTAAAAACTTCAATCCTCAAGGCTGGGAAGATAGCTCAGCAGTTAAGAGCACTGACTGCTCTTACAGATGACCCAGGTTTGATTCCCACCACATGGTGGCTAACAACTGTCTGTAATCCCAGTTTCAGGGAATCTGACACCTTCTTCTGACCTCCTCAGGCACTGCCCGACACGGGTGCACTTATATACATGCAGGCAATATACTCATACACAGAAAAAAAGAAAACAAATATTTTTAAAAACTTTAATCTTCCTCTTGCTGCCTCCCAAGTAATGGAATTACTGGCATGTGTCACCACACCTGACTTCTCTGTTAAAAAAAATTTTTATTACATCTATTTATTTTGTGTGTTGGGGGAGGTATATGCACCTGTGTGTACATGAATAGGGGCCAAAGGAGGATGTGGAGTGTCCTCTTCTATTGACCTCTGCCTTATTCCCTTAAGACAGGGTTTCTTATGGAGTTTTGAGCTCCTCCACCACTACCTCTACCCCACCTACCCCACCTAGTACTGGGGTTACAGGCAGGTATAGGCATACAGACAGGTGTGAGCACACCCAGCTTTTTATGTGGGTGTTAGGGATCTGAACTCAGGTCTTCATGCTTGCACAATAACCACTCTTACCCACCAAACCATCTCCTCAGCCCATTAGTCTATAGTTTTCAGAGGAAGTTTCAATTAAATTATAGAATCATAATCATTTCAGAGATAGGAAGTCAGAAAGTGACAGAAAACGTACCTATAAAAAAAGAGAAAGACAGGTTGGTGTGGTGGTGCATGCCTTTAATCCCAGCAACTCCGGAAGCTGAGATAGAGAGATTTCTATGGGATCAAGGCCAGCCTGGTCTACATAGTAAGTTCTAGGCTAGGAGAGGCTACATAATAACTCCCTGTCTCAAAAAAAAAAAAAGAAAGAAAGAAAAAGAGAGAGAGAGAAACATACAAGGTGGCTCATGGCTCCCATATGTCGCCACTGCAAGTACACAGGTGTCGCAGCAAGCTCACTACTCCTGCTGCTAAGCCCTCACATACCTTGCTGTCCAAGAGAAGATTGTCTGGTTTGATATCTCTGTGGATGAACCCAAGCTGGTGAATGGAGTCTATGGCTAATACTGTTTCTGCTATGTAAAACTGTGTCTCCTCTTCCGTCAGAGTGTCTTTTTTCATCAACAAGGTCATCATGTCCCCTGGAAGCAGAAAGATACAAAGCCACCACACACACACACACACACACACGCACGCACGCACGCACGCACGCACGCACACACACACACACACAAAGACAAAACATAAGAACCAGTTTCCAGATATGTCTTCATTCTATGCCAACATAAGCCAACTAAACAGAACTGTGCTGTGTCGCAGGACTGGCCCACCTTACTAACTTAAGCAGCAAATAGTTTCTAATACTTAAAGGGTGAAAATCACAACCACAGAGGAAAAAAAGCATTTCATACCTAAGTAGGTGACACTGATCACTATGCTATGATTTATGTTTTACTCAAGAGAAAATGATAATTTCTCCCACATTTAAGTTTTTTCAAAGTAAATTTTGCTTGGAATAATTTTCTGGGCTGGGGGAAAAACCAACTTCACTTTCACTGTTGCAGAAATATCTGCAAGCTTCTCTATGTCTAGGGCAAAGGGCAATTCCACATAGGTTGGATTGCTACTATTAGAGAAGGAAATGCCAAATAAAATGTAAATATTTTGGGAGACTTAAAACAACAAGCTTTCCAACTTCTATTCATGAAACACAGGGAGGCAAACCAGTGGAAAAGTGGACTGTGGGAAGCCACGCGTCAGTCAGCAAAAGGCAAGAACACTGTATTACAGTGAACTGTGTGACAACTGCCTGGCACCTCTTAAGAGCACCAGGGTCCTCTTTCTAATCTTATTAGAGGTATCTGAATATACATCATTATCCTTTATGTTAAATAATACACTCCTGGTGTTTTACAAGGTGAAAATTTAAAGCTTAATACCATCATCATTAAACAATAGAAAAATAATTAAAATATCTTAAAATTCAGGAATTAGACAAAAGCAAAGAAAATATGTATATATATAGCTAAAAGGAAAGAAAAATAGGAAGGTTGAGAAAGCCACTTACAAAAAAGAAAGAAACCTCTCATTTAAGACTATCATGCTGCTTTCCGAATTTCATTTCATAACTTTTTTTTGTATTATTGAAGAAAATAATTTTTCCCTTGGACAAAAAAAATTAAATCATTAGCCAGGCATGGTGGCGCACCCAGGAGGCAGAGGCAGACGGATCTCTGTGAGTTCAAGGCCAGCCTGGTCTACATAGTGAGTTCCAGGGCAGCTGGGGCTACAGGGAAACCCTGTCTCAAAAAGACCAAAAAAATAAAAAAATAAAATCATTAATTAAATGCTCTTCTTAGCCCAAGACTTGAAAACTATGACTCCTCAGCACTCCTGACAGCACTCAATCAAGAAGCACACCGAGACTGGGGGCAGTGCATCAGGCCATCCCTAAGTCACAGTGTGGCCTTCACTCATGGTCCAGGAGAGCAGTGAAGGCCTCACCTACGTAGGTTTGCCCAGATGATGGGAGCACTTAGGCCAGCTAGTCAAAGGCTCTGCAGGCCAAAACCACTGAGTGCAAAGGGCTGAGTCCAGGAGAAATTAAAAGCTAAAGGAAAGAGGTGTAGCAAGGGCTGAGAAGACACATGTCCAACAAGCTGGACCACCAGGCTACTTACTATTTAAGAACTGGCATATAAATGTTAAGAAAAAAGGCACCTCTCCTCATTCTGCCAGACAACTATAATGTTACTACTGTAACACTGATCAATTGCTACTAAAAATTATTGATGACTCTGGATCTAAACTAAGGGATGTCACAAGATCAATCAATACATTATGCCACAATTACATTGCCACAATTACATTTACTTTGCTAAAAACAAAAAGTAAAAAGCATCTCTTGTCTTTCTCCACAAGAGTTTGCTCAGAGTTCATATGTTCACTGGGAAACAAGCTATGCTCCCCAAAACAGATGGGGCACTCTATTCTGGGTTTACTCTGTACCTGTCCTAGATGTACATGCTATATATGTAGTAAACCTTACAGTCTCAGGAATGAAAACTGGATTCTGGATATTAATATAGGTCTTTACTAATAAATAATAGAAAAAGAAACTAGAAACATTGAAACTAAGACTTCTATAGCTTCAGTTTTGCCAGCTGGATAACTTATTATACATGATTCCCACTGGAGTAAAGCAGGCAGGCACCCTGGTTTATTCCTACACATTTTAAAAGGAAAAAAAGAAAAAAGAGCTGTCCATCTGAAACCATGACAATGGATGAAGGATTCTAAGACTGTGGAAAGGCACCCAGCACAAGACAGGTTACTGACCTCCTTTATAGACCTAAAAAGATACAGAAAGCAATCGTGGGAGCACAGTTAAAAGTAGAAAGGAGGGTTAACTGCTGATGACAGAGAGAAACCACAGAACGAAAAGGAAAAATGACCTTTCATTGTTAGGTAATTACCTCCAGGCAGGAACTCCATGATTAGGTAGAGGTTTAGCTTATCCTGAAAACTATAGAACATTTTCACAACCCACAAACTGTCTGCCTCCACTAGAATGTCACGCTCCGCACGAATGTGGCCAACCTGGAGGTACATGATTTGATTAATGACAAGCCTTGCTCTGCTTTAGTAAATTGTCTATTTGTTTAAACAATTTAAATACTGTTCTGAGTATTTAGTTGTGATGAGACAAAAGGTCTGCTTAGACCAACCAGACTAACTCAAAATTGACATCTGACTTGTAGGAATTCAGTGATGAAAACAAGTGATAAGGCTTTAAAAAAAGAAAGCCACAATGAATGGTTTAATGCAAACAGCAACTTTAACAGTGCTATGAATTAAACCTCCAATTAGTTAAAATTAACTCTTTTGTACACATTTTGTTCTAATGATCTTTGTTTTGAGGCAGGGTCTCATGTATGCCATGCTGGCCAAGGATGACCTTTGAGCTATACCCCCAGCCGGCATGGTGTGCTGGTGTGATGACACATGCCTTTAATCTCAGGACTCCAGAGGCAGAGGCAGGTGTATCTCCTAGGTCAAGGCCAGCCTGGTCTACACAGCAAGTTCCAGGTCAGCTGGGGCTACAGGGAGACCCTGTCTCAAAAAGACCAAAACACACACACAACAACAACAACAAACCACAAAACAAAACACCTAAACACCTGAGTTATAGACTTAAAACAGTGACATTGGGCTGGGTGTGGTGGTACACACCTTTAATCCCAACACTTGGGAGGCAGAAGCAGGTAGATCTCTGTCAGTTCAAGACCAGCCTGGTCTACATAGTGAGTTCCAGGCCAGCTGGGGCTACAGGGAGACCCTGTCTCAAAAAGACAAAAATAAAAAATATAAATAAATAAGGGGGCTGGAGAGATGGCTCAATGGTTAAGAACACTGGTTGTTCTGGCAGAAAACCCAGGTTCAAATTCCAGCACCCACATGGCAACTAACAACTAACTGTCTGTAACTCCAGTCCCAGGGGATCCAACAGCCTCTTCTGACCTCGGCAGGCATTGCATGACACAGTTGCACTTACCTACATGCAGGCAATACACACATACACATAAAACAAAAATAATTTTAAAAAATATTTTAAATAAATAAACAAATAAAACAGTGACGTTTTCAGTTTTCTACTTTTACTGCAATATTTCAATATCTGGCCAAAGAGACCAAGCTATAGGAGGTTTGGGAGAACTGGTAATATTATTTTGTTAGAATAATGCTTTTATAAGCTGGGGCTATAGCTCGGTTGGTAGAGTACTTGTCTAGCATGCATGAAGTCCCGGGTTTGATCCTGGGCTTGTAATTCCAGGTGAGGTGGAGGCAGGAGGATCAGGGGCTCAACATTATCGTCCATCTTCTGATATAGAGTAAGTTTGAGGCCAGCCTTGGCTACACAAGACCCTGTCTCAGGGGTTGGAAAGATGGCTCAGTGGTTAAGAACACTGGTTGTTCTTGCAGAAGACCTAGGTTCGAATCCCAGCACCCACATGACAGCTGACAACTGTCTGTAACTCCAGTCCCAGGAGATCCGACAGCCTCTTCTGACCTCCGCACGACACGGTGCACTTACCTACATGCAGGCAATACACACATAAACATAAAAAATAAAAATAAAATTTTTAAAAAAGATCCTGTCTCAAAAAGGATGATACCAAATTTACATTAGTTAAAATTCAAAATAGTAATCAAAACATTGTTTCATATTATCAAATCACACCCCTCCCTTCTTTAAGTGTCACAAGACCCAAACATGGTTTAAATTAAGTCTAAGTTCGTTAAGACCCAGTCTAGGCCTCTAATCAAGGTTTTGGTCTCATGTTACATACAGGTCTTAAGTTTTTATAATATGTTCCAAAGTAAAAGATGTTTGAAGGTTCACAAACTGGCGCTTCTGTTGTAATTTCACTGTGGTGGTTGTGTTCATTTAATACAATGGTCAATGCACCACATGTTCTATTTGGACTCTTCACCAGGACCAGGTGCCCTTCCATTACTCTTATTTGGAAGCATCCTACCCTCTGTCCTAACCTGCATCTAAGCTACCTGTTTTTGCAGTTTTGTGGGGCCTGGAGGCATCAGAATTTACATATTTGAGGGTTTTTTTGTTTTTTTTTGTTGTTGTTTTTTGAGACAGGGGCTCTCTCTGTAGCTTCAGCTGACCCGAAACTCACTATGTAGACCAGGCTGGCCTTGAACTCCCAGAGATCCACCTGCCTCTGCCTCCCAAGTGCTGGGACTAAAGGCCTGCGCTACCACGCCCGGCCATATTTGAGTTTTTAGTCTCTGCTAAGATTGTTCTTTGGAAAATTCCTGAATAGTTTCAATACGTGAAGATCTTGGCTTTTATATGTATTTATAGTACATAAGTGAGAAAAATGTACAAGAGGAGTGGTGAGGCTCAGTGTGGTGACATCACAAAACAAGCATCTGCCTTTACCTGCCTTAATGCAAAGCAAAGCTTGTAGAAAATTAATGCTGCTTGTTAACCTGCAGCCCTGCAGTCACAGCCACCTTGTCACCATGAGACACTAAGACTACAACCTTCATGTGTCCCTCTGGGTCTCTACCTGCTGCAAGGATCCAGAAAAAAGAGGGCACTAGTATTAGCACTTGTCACTCACCTTGGAGGACAGAAGGTTGACTAACATTTGCTGTTAGTCAAGGAAAGGAAAAGCTACAGACACTGGGAGCTTACCTGTCCTCTCCTGAGGCTAAAAAGGCAGCTAAAAATTTACAATAAAAATAGAGATAGCAAGGTGGCACAGGCCTCTTGAACCAGCACTCAAGAGGCAGAGGCAGGTGGATCTCTTGAGTTCAAGGCCAGCCTGGTCTACATAGTGAGTTCCAGGACAGCTGGGGCTACAGGGACACCCTGTCTCAAAAAGACAAAAAAAAAAAAAAAAAAAAAAAAAAAAAAAAAGAAGTAGAGTGAGTCAAATACAGGGAAAGGAAGGAAAGAGCCAGAAGTACAGCTCACATCAAAAGGACTTCTTTCCTATTCCACAAAGAGCTAAGGCACTGAGGAAGCAGAGATAAGAGCAGCAGCAACTGGCATCACAAGTGCACAGAAGAGAAACATCTGACCCCAGCTGAAAACTGGTGTCTTGTCTTTTAAATTTTCTTGCAGGCATCAGAAATGCCCATCTGGTGGGGCAGAGTAACCTAAACTTCCAATACGTGGATCTAATTCCTGCTCAGTTCAATAAAAGTAAAAAAATTTGCAAAACTCATTTTGTTCTTTTGGACAAAGCACCTGAAACCATGAAAAGTTAAACTCTCAATCTAAACAACAGCAGTTCTACCCTCAAATGATGGTAGATTTGTACCCATCTACTTCTAACTCTCACCCAGCACAAACCCACTGAATTCTCCTTCAGGGCTTTTAGTTGGCCACACACTGAGATCAAAGGAGGGAACTGAGTTCATCAACTAAAGTGCCCTGAGAAATTAAGTTAATGTGCCATTTAATGTATTCGTTAATGCGTTATTTAAAAATCCTAATTGTAATGGACATTTATTTTCATTTGGAAAAAAATGTAGATATTAATCTTGAAGAAAGCTTAATATTTGAGAAAAGATTTATGACCTATATTTGGATTACCTGTTAGTAGGTTGGACACATGGCACAGGCTATGTGGAGTTAGTAACAAAATCATTACATCTTCGTAACTTTTTTCTAACTTTTTACATTTTGTATGTATGTGTGTATGTGTGTATATGTAAGCATACCTGTCCCTGAGGCACAAGCGGAAATCAGAGAACAACTTACAAGGGTGAGTTCTCTCCTTTCACCATGTGCTTTCCAAGGGATCGAACTCAGGTTGTCAGATTTGGTAGTAGGTGTCTTTACCCACTGAGCCATCTTGCATTCTGCATAAGTTGGTGCTAGCTTAAACTATAGTATCTGAAGATTTGATGCTTTCAATAAAAATTCCTGAGAATCCAAGGCTTATGAGTAACATGAAAATGAAAATACTAAATTTTGAGGTGGAACCTAAATGAATGAAGAGAGGGCTCCTGGTTATACTTCCACTCAGGTGGCAGATGATGCTAGTGTGGGGTCAGTCTCTATCCTTGCTATTGGACTCCAAATGCAGAACTCCCCCTTTGACCTTACACAGGACATTCCCAGCATCATCCACTGCTATGCGTTCTGAGGCAACCAGCTAAACTAAAACAGATTGGCAAAAGGCCTACATGCTTGCTTATAAAACATAAACTGCCCAATACTTAAATCTTTTTAAAAAATATTTTTATTTTATGTGTATGAGTGTATTGCCTGCATGTGTAAGTGCACCCATGTCATGCAATGCCCATGGAGGTCAAAAGAGGATGTAGGATTCCCTGGAGCTGGAATTACGGATGGTCATTAGCCATCATGTAGGTGCTGGGAATTGAACCTGGGTCTTCTGCAAGAGCAGTCAGTGCTCTTAACCATTGAGCAATTTCTCCAGCCAGCACTCCCAATACTTAAATCTTATTAAATTCACACTAAATATGTATGTCAGACCTACTGACAGAGTGGGCTATGGTTCTTTTATTTGGGAGAGGAGGTGTTTATTTGGGATAGTACCCAGGGCCTTGCACATCCTAGGCAAGCAGTCTACCTCTGAGCTACATTCCAAGTCCCTAGAAAGTGCTCCTAACCATTAAGGGAAAATCACCCTTAATCCCCTTCTGCTCCATCTTTTGCATTTTATCTTCCAAATTCATTCAGAAATTAGAAGGCTGGTCTTCCATTAGGTATTGATGAGCTACTCAGAAGACCCAACTTTGGTTTAGGTATAAAAATGAAGAATATTCAGTCAGTGTGGTGGCATAAGACTTTAATCCCAGCACTCAGGAGGCAGAGGCAGGCGGAGATGGAGGCCAGCCTGGGACAATCTACGTGACAAGTTCCAGGCCAGTGAGACCCTGTCTCAAAAAACAAAAACAAAACAAAAGCAGCAGCATATTCAGACACATCTAAATCCTAACTCCTAATCCAAGGAGCATGGAAACCATGATAGGGCATCTGTGATCAACTGGGAGACTCACAAAGCAGCTGCTTCTCTAACAGGTTCATTTCTAAAAGACCACACATAAGCCGGGCGTGGTGGCGCACAACTTTAATCCCAGCACTTGAGAGGCAGAGGTAGGCCAATCTCTGTGGGTTCAAGGCCAGCCTGGTTTACATAGTGAGTTCAGCTGGGGCTACAGGGAGACCCTGTCTCAAAAAAAAAAAAAAAAAAAAAAAAAAGACCACATAAGCCAAAGTAGTAGTATATGTATAAATCATATACAAAAGAGCTAACTAAAACAAAGTGTAATAAAATTAACACTACTATTAAGCAAAATGAATAATTTTAGGAGACAAAACTTCCCAACCTGACTAGTAACATGGCTCCCACTGAACTTTACCTGCTCCTTCTCAAGCATGTCTGCTTTGCGGAGGATTTTCATTGCATACACATGCCCTGTATCTTTCTTCTGAACAAGCCGCACCTAAAAAGTGAAAAGGAAATGCCAAGAGTTCACACTGCCAAGTTCTTTCATGGGCTCTAGCAAGTCCCCCACCCCCATGGTAGAGACCAAACCCAGCAAATATAAGCAATTACTAATAACAAAACAGAAAATGCTTTTTAATGTTACAAATCAATATATTACATAGCCATGCCAATGCTGGAAAGATCTTCAACTACTACAAATTTGACCAGTGTTGGCTCCCTAGTTGAATATACTAATCTAATTTAAAGTCTCTTATTTCAAAATTAAGAACTAGTTAAACTCCTAACAAATACTACCCAGTCAGCTTAGAAAGACCAAGTATATATGCCAGGCATGGTGGTACACACCTTTAATCCCAGCACTTGGGAGGCAGAGGCAGGCAGATCTCTGTGCATTCCAGGGCAGCTGGGGCTACAGGGAGACTCTGTCTCAGAAAGACCAAAAAGAAAAGAAAATGGTCTAGTAAACAAAAGAAAAACTTTTGGCAAGTTCTTGCACATCCTCCCCTTCTCCCCAAGATAAATACATTTTCCTACATCCTTCTTCATATTTTTTCTATCAAGTCCCATTTTCCTTCTTCCCTGAAATTTTTTTTTTTTTTTTTTTGTCCTTTTGAGACAGGGTCTCCCTGTAGCCCGAGGAACTCACTATGTAGACCATGCTGGCCTTGAACTCACAGAAATCCTCCTGCCTCTGCCTCCAGAGTGCTGAGACTAAAGGCATGCACCACCACGCCTGGCCAACCAAAGAAGCACTTTTAAGAGCACTTTCCCGTTCTCAATGGGCCAAATGGAATTCTCAACTCAAACATCAGTTTTGTCCTTCACCTGTGTCTTTGGGATAGTACTCACATATCCCCTGAGCACTAGTTTTTATTTATTTATTTATTTATTTATTTATTTATACTTCAAATATTTTATTTATTTTAATATTTTATTATTTTTATTTTATGTGTGTGAGTATATTGCTTGCATGTATGTAGATGTAGCCATTTAGCAGAATGCTCATGGAGGCCAAAAGAGGGTGTCAGGACTTCCTGGAACTGGAGTTAGGATGGTTGTTAGAGACCATGTGGGTACTGGGAATTGAATCCAGGTCCTCTGCAAGAGTAGGCAGTGCTCTTTACCACTAAGCCAGCTCTCCAGCTCCAGAGCACTAGTTTTTATACAAACGATATACAAACTAAATGTCTGCTCCTTCTATACAAAGACCATATCATTACTGCATTAGTAGGTGGTCCATTTGGGGTGTTTTCTATTATGACCTTGCGTGGGGTTCATTCAAATTTTCCCCAAGAGATTGCTCTTCAAGCAGGATTACTTTGTAAGAATAACCGGGCCAGGGATTTGGGATTTAGCTGAATGGTAGAGTGCTGGCTTAGGTTCAACCCCTACAACCACAAAAAATAAAAACAGCTAGGCCAAGCTATAAGCACCTTTCTCTACTACTAACCAAAGGTCCATCTTTTTTTTTTAGACAAGCTCCTGCTAGCTAACTTATGCTTTTATGCTGGCTTGAACTTGTGATCCTTCTGCCTCAGGCTCTGGAGTACTAAGATTATATGCATGTACACCAAGCCAAGTTTTAGAGCTCTAAGAATCTAGTGAGAATGACTAAAAGGATGGAGAAGTGCTTATCAGTTTCCTCTTGGCACACTGTGGTATTAGGAAAAGCAATGGTACTAAATCAGGAAGACTTGGGCCCAACATCTGGTGCCAGTGCTGAAGAACTGTGCTTATATACCTTCAAAGTTACACATCTTCAGAGCCTTAATCTCACCATCTATAAATGGGTTATTAGGAGAAGCACTGAGTAAACAATAGATACTGAGTTCCTCAAAATGTGGTAGTACAGTCCTTTAATCCCAGCACTTGGAAGGCAGAGGCAGGCAGATCTCTATGAGTTCCAGGCCAACTTGGTCTATGTAGTGAGTTCCAAGTCAGCCAGAGCTACATAGCAAAACCCTGTCTTAAAAGAATTGAGTTCAAGAGCTCAGGAGCTGAGCATGGTAGCACAAGCCTGTAATACTAACATTCTGAGGGAGCTGAGACATATGTTGATGCCAACCTGGGCTACATAGTGAGACCCTGTCCCCTCTCCCTCTCTCCAAAAAAGGGGGGAAGATGCCAATGTCATCTCTGTTAAAACAGAGAAGAAATCTGAGGAATGAATCATGGAGAAAGAAAGACAGTGAGAATGAGGGGCTTCCATGCTTATCTAACTAACCCCTCATATTTCAGCTCAATCAACAATCAGGAACTCATGACATTAGAAGCTTTGACATTTAGTGATTTGTTTTTCCTGTAGACCTAGCTGACCCGGAAACTCACTATGTAGAGCAGACAGGCGTCAATCTCACTGAGCTCCTCCTCTTGCCACTGCCTCCTGAGTGCTGGGATCAAAGGTGGGCACCACCACACCCTGCATTTTTTTTTTTTTTTAATTTGAGAACTAGCTGTGATTTTACCTCACCAAATGCTCCTCGGCCTATGACTTTTAAGGACTCAAAATCTTCCAATCCAAGTCTTGTTCTCTTTAAGCGAAGAAACTCTGTTTCCTTCCGAGCATGTGCAGATCTCCTGAGTCTTTTCTAATGTTTAAATAAAGAGAAGGAAAAGGAAAGTTGAAATTCTCAGACTCTACAACAAAGTCCCAGTTGTGGTGCCCAGCTAGATAGCAGGACCACACTAGTCTAGGCTCAGCCTTCTCACGTTCGACAGCACCACAGAAGAGGCCTTAAACACTTCCTTTCCCCTTCCCCAGTCAGACATCACGAGCAAGCCATACTGAAGGGGGGGTGTGCCTCCTCTCAGAACTGACTAATGTACTTTGGTAATCCACTATTCTAACATTTCTAATGAAGAGAAATTTTTTTTTTAAAAATTCAACATTTTCCTTGAACCCTTTTTAGGTAAAAGTGTGTTTTTCTGTATCCCTCTGGGAATTTTTTTCCTACTGTCCTGGGTTCTGTGATTCACTCCTATTCTGAAGGCATCTACAATGCTGTTTAAGTACCTGCATGGTTACTTAGTTGTATTTTCCTCTACCATACCTGTGGGCAGTGTGCAGAAAGGCTGACTTGAGATAGGTGCTTTGCTTTGATGATGGCTTCAGAAATTTACCTTACTTCTATGGAGCCTTGTTAGTGAATTTACTTATTTATTCATTTATTTTATTTTATTCTTTCATTTATAGACAGGGTCTCACTCTGTAGTCCACAGCTAACCTCAGACTTGTAGTGATCCTCCTGCCTCATCCCTAAGTACCAGAATGAATTACCATATCGAGTCAGTGAGCAGATAAGAATGCTTGCCTTCCTCTTTTAAACTTTAGTCTGATTTTAATGGTTTCACTTTTTTTTTTTCTTAGAATTCTATAGCTAATTGATTGTTATAACTGTGACTAGAGAAGTCTTCCTCTCTGGGGTATCTAATTAACTTCTCCCTCTGCATGAATAAAAGCATGCCATCTCTCAAGTTCCTGTCACTGAGCCAAAGCCTTCCCATGGGCACCAAGCAAACTTGATGAATGAAACACAACCTTCCATGCTGGGACTTGAAGAAAAAAAGTTCCCAACAGTAATTACCTCTTCATCTTTTAGGCCTTCTTCTTCCATCACTTTTTCTAACTTCTTTTGTCTAAAATAAACAAGAAAAGATATTTTAACACTTGAAATTTGATAATCCTATATGAATAAAATCAGGGCTAGTAAAATAGTTCAGCAGGTTAAGGAGCTTGTCACCAAGCATGATGACTCGAGTTTGACCCCTGGGACCCACATAATATGAGAACTGACTCCCGAAAGTTGTCCTCTCCTCTGACCTACCTACCTACCTACCCTCGCCCACACACACATGAAACTTCTTTTCTTTTTTTTTTTTTTTTTTTTTTTTTTTTTTTTTTTTTTTTTTTGTCTTTTTGAGACAGGGTCTCCCTGTAGCCCCAATTGTCCTGGAGCTCACTATGTAGACCAGGCTGGCCTTGAACTCACAGAGATCTGCCTGCCTCTGCCTCCCAAGTGCTGGGATTAAAGGCGTGTGCTACCACACCTGGCTAATCTAATTTCTAAGACAAGTAAAATTTCCATTCTTTGTTATATCTGTAATTTTTATTTATTTCTGAGAACTTCATACATGAGCATTGTCTTTGCATTATTTCCATCCCTCCCAGTCCCCCATCAATTCCTCCCATGTCCCCCCAATGCCTTCTCAATTGCTTGTCCTCTTCCTTGTTACATATTCATACGCACATTTATGAACACACACACACACACACACACAAAGTCCATTTAGTGGTACTCATGTGTACCTGTATATAGGGCTGCCCATTTGGGATTAGATAACCTCTCAGGGAGCTAGTCCCTGGAGAAAACTGATTTTCCCTCCCTCAGATTCCACTGATTGCCTGCAGTTTTTCATCTTGAGGTGGGACTTTGTGACATCCCCCATCCTCCTTGGCATGTCAACTGGTTAAATCTGTATTTTGAAAAAGACTGTATAATATGCTAATGCAACAAAGAAACCAGGAATGGTGGCACATACCTGTTAGCCCAGCATTTGATAGGTGAAAGTAAGAGGAATAGGAGTTCAAGGTCAGCCTCAGCTACATAGTAAATTCAAGGCCAGCCTGGGCTACAACAGACCCTGTTTCCAAAATAACCCACAGAAACTGCATCTAAGAAATTATTTTCATCTTTTTGGTGTTAGAAGATCAGAGTATTTTACCACTGAGCTATAACCCCAGAATCCACCCAAGGATATATATTTTTCATTATTATTTTTATTTTATGTGTATGTGTGAATTGCCTGCATGTAGGTAAGTGCACCCGTGTCATGAAATGCCCTCGGAGGTCAGAAGAGGCTGTCGGATCCCCTGGGACTGGAGTTACAGACATTTGTTAGCTGTCATATGAGCGCTGAGATTCGAACCCGGGTCTTCTGCAAGAACAACCAGTGTTCTTAACCGCTGAGTTATCTCACCAGCCCCCAAGGATATTTTTTAACTACAGCTGCATAATGATTTGATTAAACTAATAGAACTGATGTATAAAACTTTATAAATGAAACCATTCCATCAACAGGCAAAGTGTAACAAAAATCTGTCTAAAGGGATAGTATGTAATTTCTGCACAGGTCTCTGTATACCAGTCAAGCACATAAAATAAAAATAATAAATAAAATATTTAAATAAATAAATAAATAAACTAATAGAACCTAACAAAACTATAAACCCGGTGTGGTGGCACACGCCTTTAATCCCAGCACTCAGGAGGCAGAAACAGACACATCTCTGTGAGTTCAAGGCCAGCCTGGTCTACACAGAGTTCCAGACTCTGTGGCTACAGGGAGAACCTTAAGAGACCAAAAAAGAAAAAGGAAGGAAGGAAGGAAGGAAGGAAGGAAGGAAGGAAGGAAGGAAGGAAGGAAGGAAGGAAGGAAATCCAGCCACATAGAAAATGGATAACACAATGTGACTAAGAGTCATATCCCAGGAATGCAGGAATAGGTTAATATTTAAAAATCAGGGGCTGGAGAGATGGTTCAGTTGTTAAGAACACTGGTTATTCTTGCAGAAGACCCAGATTTGAATCCCAGCACCCACATGGCAGCTAACAACTGTCTGTAACTACAGTCCCAGGGATCCGACCACCACTTCTGACCTCCACAGGCATTACAGGACACAGGTGCACTTACCTACATGTAGGCAATACACGCATACACAGGGAAAAAAAAAATTAATAAATTTTTTTAAGAAGTTAAAAAAAAAATCAATCTAAGGGCTGGAGAGATGGCTCAGTAATTAAGAGCACTGCCTGCTTCTGCAGAAGACCCATGTCCAGTTCCCAGCACCCACATACCCATATGGCAGCTAAGAACCATCTATAACTTTCAGTTCCAGGGGATCTGATGCCTTCTTCTGGCCTCTTTAGGTACTGCATACACATGGTACGCTTGCCTTCATGTAGGCAAAACACTCATATACATAAAATAAAAATGATGAAGAAAACCTTTACAAAGCTGGACTTGAAAAAAATAAAAAATAAAATAAGCCAGTCGTGGTGGCGCATGCCTTTAATCCCAGCACTTGGAAGGCAGAGGCAGGTGGATCTCTGTGAGTTCCAGGCCAGCTGGGGCTGCAGGGAGACCCTGTCTCAAGAAATAATAATAAAATTTAACTTAATTTAAAAAGCTGGGCTTGCTAGTAATAATCAAATACATACAGATTAGAGATGCATATGCCAACATCTCAGTGTTAGTAGCAAAAACAATGAGCCTTTCTGCAAGGAGCAATATATTCTAAAATGAAATGGAGATCTTTTTTAAAGGTTAAAAACTCATTCAATTTTATGTCTTACAGGGCTTATACTGAGTTCAATATTGTATAACTGTATTAATTCAACTATGAACCTAGAAACTTGCAGCCACTTGTGAAAGAGATGTACTCTTGCTCTGGAGTGTGTTACTGAATATGTTAAAGCTGTAGTGAAATGCTTCTTCTAATCATGTAGTTATTAAAAATTTTTAAAAAGACTAAAAAAAA